TGCATTGATCGCGTTTCAATAAAGATTTTTTAAACTATAAAATAATATTGAGTAGTATATGGCACATGCATTACTTCCTTTTCTCAATCCGAGTTATTTTTTTTCTTATAAATTGCAATCTCTTCATATAAAAAGACATTCAGTAATTAATTTGATAAATGACATAGAATTTTAAAAGGAAAACCCAGTGGTTTACCTTATATTAATGTACTAAATTATGTCTTAATAAAAATTACCAGTATTTTAAGTTTAGGTAGCCGACAAATAAGCAAGCAGTCAAACTTGCTAAAAATATTAAAAATAATTGAAATGTAAAACAAAATAACAGTCTTACATCATTGTTAAAAAAACAATTCGTAAGATTGAGTTTTTTTTTAAAACTAGCTGTGAGTGGAATTCTGTCTTGAGGCAATTATGGCATCGTGCCTTAAGGCAACGATATAAGAATTATATAAACTGAATTGCAGAGTTGAAATTATTTGTTTAAAGTATATTAGAACTATAGTCAGAATTAAAAATAAAATCTGAAATATTTTCGATATACAAAAAACTAAAAAAAAAAAAAAAAAAAGGGGACAAAATTTTTTTTTTTCCAAAATCAATTATTTTGTTAAGACAAGCAGAAAGTTCTTTGAATCATTTAAATCGGACGCTTAGTTCTCTCAAAAACTGCCATTTTTTACATATTTAGCTCCGTATCTTCAAAATGGCTGGGCCTGCCTTTGCCAAAAACTAATAAACACTTCTCCCAATCATTACTAATTGAATGTTTTTTAGATCATTCAAATCGGATACTCCGTTCTCTCAAAAATTCGATTTCTATTTTCTGCACTCTTTGCTCCGTATCTCCGAAACGGCTGGACCTGCCTTTGCCAAAAACTAATCAGCTCTTTTCCCTATCAATAGGAATCGAATGTTTTTTGAACCATTCAAATCGGTTGATCCGTGCGCCCTGAAACGTGACTGGAAATTTGTATCCATACATACATACACACACACACACACACACACACACACACACACATCCATTTTTTCTGAGGTATGCCAAAACGTTCAGAAACCTTCAAAACGTCGAGAAATGTAAAAATTTTCAATTCCGATTTTCGGCCCATTACAATAACTTACCCTACGGGAAGTTAATAACACATACCCTATCAACATTATTTTTATAATTTAAGCGTAAAAATTCAATAAAAGATTCAAATACATGATTTTATTTGGCATATCGTTGTATCTATATCCAATTTGTTTCTAAAAGCCTCATTTCTCTCAAAAAACAAAATATTTATATAAATTTTTATGTATACGTTTTTCATGAGTACGTTTAGGAGATATAAGGTGGCTTCATCTTTAAAAACTATGAATTAATTGAAGCAACATTTTTTAATAAACACTCATTAAAATACGAAAATACTCGAGAGATATATGTTTATTGTACATAGAAAGACTAATATACAGGGTGTTCCAAAACTCAACGTCAAGCCGAAACGATTTTAAAAGTAAATGGCAAAAAAGAAGAATGTCAATCAAGAAGACTGAAAAAGAAGCTGCCTAAAGATAATATGGAGGGTCCTTAGAACTATCACAACTTTATATGAACACAATAGTAGAATCTCTTATTGAAGTGATTCTCTAACTATCAATATTATATTTATCAGATTAATTTATTAAATTTTAAAAACATGTGAAATTTTCAAATTAGTCAAAAACTCAAAAATTTAAATAGAACAAAATTCCTGAATTACTAATTCCAAAAAACAACAAATAAATTAAATTAAACGAACTTAATTTAATTCATAAATAAGCCATATATCGAGTAAGAAGAGTTAATATCAAAAATAGCAACAATAAAACATATTGAAACTTTTGTTTTTGGAAAAAAGTTTAATCAGTTGACAAGAAAATAAGACAAGTTGCATGACGTTACTCAATATATACAAATAATCGATTTAATCTACGAGAATTGAGATAAGTTTTTTTTCTATTTATTTTGAAAATGAAGTTTTCCTTTTATTAAAACTAATGAAACAATATAGTAATTAAATTTGAGACTAAAATATTGTGAAGAATAAATTTAAATATAAAACATGTATAAAAAATGCACAATTTGAGGGATCTGAAATATTAAAATAAAATTTGACTTACTTTTGGTTAATCAATACCTTTTGACCAAAAATTACCAAAAGTGAACAATACATAAAAATCTATAAAAAATGATTTTCTCAAACTTATACTCGAATAAACTCTTTTTTTAATATCATTTGACTCTTCTTTTAAATCTATTCGTTATTCGCTATATATTTTACCATTCCATCAAAATCGACATGCGTCGGCGAGCAATTATTGAGTTTTTCGCTATGAATCAATTTATTTAAATAGACTAGAGGTCGTATTAGAGAATTAGTATCAAAGTATACGTCAAAACCATATTCAGTATTCTTTTGAAGAAAATAATAAATTGAATTGAACTGGAAATCTAAATTGGCATGGAAAATTTCAACAATTCTCCACGTCTGCAATATCAGATGCTTGAAAAATATAATGGGTCGTTATAATGATCCTAGAATCTTTTTTCAAATAAGCAAATTGTGTAATAAATTCTGATTCGGAATTATTGTACTGAAAATGGTGTAGTTATTGCAATGTTTAATACTTTTAACAATAAAAAAATGCAATAAGCGCTTCGGCACTTTTAACTTTTATTACTATGGTTCTAGTCCAAGATCAATTTTTGAGGGCAATCATATTTTAAATATTTCTCAACATAATATTTTAATTATTCCCTAACTGATTTCCAAAAGTGCCCTTGTAATTTATTTACCTACTAGAACTAGTATTTAAATGAGTTGAAAAGGATTAAAATCACGTTAATGATTACTAATGATCTATAATTCTATAATATTATTGATGTGGAACATTAAATAACCTTGCTGGTGAATTTAATGATAATTTTCATAAATTGTGGTCCATAATGTATAATTTTTATTATATTTTATATCATTTATTTTGTTATATGCAATTGTAAACATTTTAAGTGTTTATGTTATACTTAACTATTAATATCATAATAATAAAATTAAATAAGTTCAACGATTTGGAGTGAAATACGCAAATATTTCTGTAAAAATAATTTTATTCACATATTCAATCTTATTCATGCCCGTAAAACGTTGTCTTGTGAAAAGCACCAAAAGTCATAAATTTTAGGTCGTTGTCCTGGAATCGATAGGGCTGTTTTTATGATATATATATATATATATATATATATATATATATATATATATATATATATTATAAGGAGCTCTACCAAAAATGTCTTTATTTCAAACATCATCATCTTTACTTATGGTGTTTAATTTGCAAAATAAGTGAAAGTTTTCATCTCAAGGATGATATTTTGTTCCAGATTAAACATTAAGTAGAGAGTTTAACACGTTATTACTAATTAAAAAACTACATAAAATATTTGAGGTTTACCAAAGTGTTATTTTATTATTAACGCTATCTTGTATTTATGACTATGCTGATATTAATTAATCATAAATTATGATATGCAAAATAATAAAGACGTGGTAGTATTATATTGTTTTGTATGTTAAGCGGAATCTAACGAGAGTTATATATATATATATATATATATATATATATATGAGTGAGTTCTTGAGGGCGATACATCAAACAAAGAAAAGCCAAAGATTTATAAAATAATCTTTATTTCCAAACGTTTCGACATTCAATTTAATGTCATCATCAGTAGATATTACGTTGGTTGGTTACATATAGAGAAGTGTACACAGCACTAGAGATTGGCACTAACATTTATACAACTAACTTGTCAACACTATGCATTTTTTATATAATTTTTTTGTATGATGTAAACAGAAAAATGATAGTTTTATTGAACAATAATGTAAGTAGAATTATGTAATTTCTGCCACGACTTCTGTACTTTGCTAGTACCGAGGCATGTATCATGTACCGAGGATACAAAAAAGTTACTACGGTACTAGTTATATATATATATATATATATATATATATATATATAAAATTATTTTGAAATCAACTGTACAATTCATATTTATCAAACACAATTTTCAAAAAATATAAAAAATGGAATATCTGATAACACAGGTCCACAAAATAAAAAGTTGGCTATATTGGGTGTGCAGCATATGTTTTCCAATATAGTTTTTACCTCTGAACACGAATCTAAAGTCAAAATTTAGGAACAAATGGCAAAGAATTGAAATTTTTTTAACGAAATAACAAAATCTTTGATTGAGTGTAATTCTTGAGCATATTAATCAAAATCTCATGATTTCTATCGTTTACTGACTCTTTTCACTTCAAATGACCATTGGGTTTCAATTAAATATTCTATTGATTTTTTTTTTTGGTATAAGTCAGCAGTAATTTGCAAACATATTTTCTCCTCATTTCCCTGGGAAATCTGCAACCATGTTTTCAATTTAAATATTTGAAAATATGTTGGCAAAATACTGCTCTACAAAAACTATAAGATTTTAAGTATCATGCAGAAGAATTACCAGGTCAGATTACTAGATTTGGCGGGGGGTTTACAAAAAATCACGAAATATCACATCAAGAGTATAGTAAGATATAACATGTATTTATTTTTTACCAGATTTTTTTTTTAAATTCAAACATTTAAAAAAAAACAAATATTTTACAAGTTTTTCTCGTAACTAAAAATACAATAAAATTTTGAATATCATCACGTATCACCAAGAAGGAGGAGGGGGTCCAAAAATCTTTAAAAAATCAATCACGCGATTAATGGACGCCCCCAAACGTAAATGTACCTATCGAATTATATTTACTATATCAATATATAGGGTACCTAAAGTATGTCAAAAGGATTAGGACCTTATTGAAATGTAAAGGTCTCAGAAAAAACTACGATTTTTTCACAATTTATATAACTCACACCGCATGAAGTTCATAGTAAAATTATTTATTTAACTTTCAATTTTACAGTTCACTCTCTACCAAATCTGACAGTGTTATCCCTATCCGGGTGCAGTAAAGTAACGGACGATGGAGTGGAGCTAATAGCAGAGAATCTTCAAAAACTTAGAGCCTTAGACTTATCATGGTGCCCTAGAATAACCGATGCGGCCCTGGAATATATTGCCTGTGATCTGAACCATCTAGAGGAATTAACACTGGACAGGTAAAATTCACCTGAATTGAATGATAAACGCTTCTCGGTTTCTGCATGGCCAGTGGGAACAATTTTGGTAGTTTGACTGCTCGTAATGAATAATATAACGCGAACTTAGTTTGGAATTGTAATGTATTTAATATGCTGAATACATAACGTTTTAGTACAATTGCACATATAAATTCGTAATGCGATAGCAGGGAAATATGTTAATTCTTCTACCTTCAAAATGGATTATTGGCTCTAATGTGATGGATACAATTTGATGCAAATTGCATGTAGAAATTCGAGTAATAATTAACAGTAAGACTGACCCCGATTACTATTGCATTATAAATTTAAAGTAAAACATGAAAGTTTAAACAACTTTTTCATAGTAAAAGAAATATATAAACCAAATTAAAACAATTCAGTTTTTCATGAGTTAATAATAGGAAATAGGAGTCAACGATACGAAAAAAAGAACTAAAAGGGGAAATAAGGACCAAATAGTATATATGGCCGAAATGACAGAGGTGCCTTATTCAAAAAATAAATAATTTTAGTAACGTTTCCGCGACTGTGTAACATGAAGAAATCCAAAACCACAATCCTGTCAGATGTTGCGCGTCATTGTCCCATTCTTGATGGAGCCATCAGTTCAAACATGTATCGCGATTTCAAAAGTTTGTTTTAAAGGTTGTTTTGTCATGTTTTTTTTGTGACTTATTCATTGTTATTGGTAGTTATTTATTAACTTCCCGTAGGGTAAGTTATAGTAATCGCAAAAAATCGAAAATGATTTTTTTTATATATCTTTGCGTTTCAAACGTTTCTGAATATTATGGCTCACCTTAGAAAAAATGAATGTATGTGTGTGTGTGCGGATACAAATTTTCGTCGACGATTTCGGGAACACCGATCAACCGATTTGAATAATTCAAAAAATATTCGATTCGTATTGATAAGGAGACGTGCTGATTGGTTTTTGGCGAAGGCAGGTCTAGCCACTCCGAAGATACGGGACAAAAAGTGTCAAAATCGGTAACTCAGTTTTTAAGAGAACGGAGCGTCCGATTTTGATAATTTAAAAAAATGTACTTGTATTGACAAGATGAAGAACTGATTACATTTTTGGGAAGCCGTTATGGACTCTCAATAAAAACAAGTTAAAAAAATGTCATTTGTCGGTCAAAAATGTTTATTGGACATATGTACATCAAATTATCGAATATTTTATAGAGATGTTAATAATGTATACACATTTCGTGTAAATTTTTTTGAGTCACGTATCAAGATTTTTAATTGCGGTACGGAAAGTTACAGAAATTTGCCTTAAGGCACTATGCCATGCACCCTATTAGTTTTTCTATTTTTTATCACTTTATGACAAAATGACATATTCATACAAAAAACAAAATAACATAGTACTAGTCCACAAGAACTACATGGCAGCTCATTCGAAGCCAAGAAACAAGAAATAAGAAACATGTCAAAGGTGATTGGTTTTTGACTTCTACTCTAATTACTTCTAAAAACAGACCATAAGATCTACCGATAAAAAGAAGAGGACAATGTTGGCTTCATGTGCTGATGTCCCAAACAGGACAAAATAGTTTATTTGTAAACTGCCTTCTTAAAAATTAGATTTTTCGTATGACCTTACCCTACATGCTATTTTGTTGGCAATATGAACAAAATGGTTTTTGTAAATCGTTGCATTTACCTTAATAAGCATGTTATTATAGGTCTTCCTGAATTAAAAGATTGTTACTGGTAGTTAATGAATCAAAGATGAGTAAAAACATAATCATTATTAATATCATTAAATGATTAAATATCATTAAAAAACAAAACGCCAAGCCAATTTGTCAGTAAGCCTTTAACAATAAGAGTTTGTCGAAATTGTTACACTGCAGCATTTTGCAAAAAGTATCCTTTGCATGAAATGCTAATCGATATTTATTTATCACAAATTCATTATCATAAGTCCATAAATACATATTTTAAAATCAAGAATATTTTGAATTAGAAGCGTTGTACGTAAATATTATTATAAGCTTTTTCGTATATCTTTAGAGCCGGATGTGTCATTTTTAACACCGTTTTACTGGAGATTAATTTTGTACGAGTAAATAATTCTTTGCATACCACTTTTTCGTTATATTTGTTTGCAGTATAAATTACCTAAATCTACGTGCCTCAGCACAAAAACGCATTAACACATATCCAACTAATCAGATTACTTACAGATAATAACGAAACTTGGGCTAAATTATCGACTGATGAGCAATTTGCCTAAAATAGAACTTTATTTTGAGAATTAATAACCATTTGTGGAGTTAGTGTTTAGCACATTTTTGAACCGACTATACAAAATGATGCCATAAAAGTAAATGCTTTGAATTTTTTAAATAAATATTTTGGATGTCGGTTTTTATGAATGGAAAAACCGACACTGAACTTAATTAGTTGCCAAAATAAAAGATTAATTATCAGGTTAGCAATTAACTAAGCGCGGATTTTTGTTAAAAAATTGAAGACTAGCTATTCTATGATGCATTGTCCATGATTTTTATTCAATAACTTTCATAGAATTTTGTTTTATAGGCAAAAAACTGAAATAAGTACAATTTGGTACCAAATTGTTTAACATTTTTTTGGACTTTTGTAAAGATCGAAACAAAAAGTAATCAGAAGGTCAAAAATATATGGTGGACGTAGAAAAACATTCCAATCAAGCCCCAATAATTCTTACTGAATGGCCAAAAATATAGTGAGATAAAAAATCCTGTTCAATTGTTCAATTAATTTGATTAGTTTATAAGATTACGTGGATTGAGCTTATTTTAGTTTAACCGTTTTCAAGATGAATTACTGCTTAACAATAATAATATTAGAATCATCGGACTGATATCTCATTTTGTTTTGTATTAATCAAAAATATTACTCAGACAGTTGTACTTACTATATGAAATAAAAAATAATAATAAAAAAAGTTGTCAACATCAGAATTTATCGTTCGGTTCGGGTGGTAAGAATAAAATCAGACAATTCTTTTGTAATGAACTTCAACTGGACGACCCGAGCATTTTTCATCTTTGAGTGAAAAATCACCAGAACGAAAATTGGCAAACTACTTTTGATTTTTGAAAATTTATGATTTTTTTAAAATTTGTTTTAGATTAATTTCGTGATTTTTTGCCAAACGCACCCCCTAAAAACCTCACCAGGTTATTGGACGCCCCCTTTCGACTACTGTACAGGAAAAAAAAATTATATAAAATATAATAGAATGAAAATAATTAGCTAGGAACCTATTTTGGAAAATATCCTATTTCATATTAAGTTGACTATAAGAAATGAAGACTTTACCAAACGATGTAATTGCTTGAAGTATTTAAACAAATATGAACCATTTAAAATTTTTTTAAGAACATCAATTTGTAGAAAGTAAATATATGTACAACGGCTACATGTTCCATTTCACTTTTACGCAAATGTTAATTTACATCTAATACATGTTGTTTTGAAATAATCACCAATTAAATACTGCAAACATTAAATATAAGCTGTGTTAAATTATTACTAAAATTATCTAATCAGATTTGATGTTCTCAAAACTCTAATTATATTTTGGAGCATGTATTTTCATAATCTTCACATCAGGCCATTATATTACATTATGAAGAGTTCATGCAAATATTTAATTAATGCTATATTTAGCACAATTTTAAATAGAATTCTAAATATAGCATACATTTTCCGTTAATTATAATTTAATTGATGTAAAACAAATTTAGCAAATAAGAGGATTTAAGATAAATGTCATTTGTTTGTACACGTGCGTGTATGATATCGCTATAATAATAAATAACTGTATGAAATTTTCCACAAATTTCTAACAGATCCATCAAGAATCAGCTCATGAGAGTTTAAATGTAGATAATGAGATTTCCTGGATTATTAATTTTATCTAATTTAACTTTCGAAATAGAATATGCTTTTAATTTAATTAAGATAGCTATAAGCGCATAATAATTTACCTCAAAATTTAATGAAAAACGCTCTAATAGCATATAAAGTTTTCATCATTGTGGATAAAATATTAAATATAAATTTAATAATTGTTAAAATATTCTGAAACTTATTCCTGAAGGTTTGTTTAATGTTTTTGAAACCTATCAATGATCTTGGTAAAACTGCAAAACTTAAGCATGAAGAGATACATTAATTAGTTTTTTAATATCTATACAATATTTCTGACAAGCCAATAGATTAAAATGGATCATAAATCATTCGATTTGTAACATTACAATTAATTTTCACATCGGACAATTATATTTATATAGAAATTCTTATAACGTGCATTTTGATAATATTCATATATCTATCCAACTGAGGATTCAATCAGTAATACAAACGAGTTTAAATTTTTATTGAATATTAATTCTAAATAAATGCTTCAACAATTTAAACTAATAACTTGAAACTTTTGGTCCTTTGAACTAACGTACAATACCTAAACTTTTCAAAGTTTAGAAAAATTAACATCACAATGAAAGTCTTTCTATTTTGATAGGAAATATTTACTTATTCATTTATTAACTTCCCGTAGGGTAAGCTATAGTAATCGCAAAAAAATCGAAAATAAAATTTTCTACATATCTTATCGTAGCTAACGTATCGCGATTGCTTTGAAAAGAAGTTCAAAGTTTCCAAAAGTTCAAAACAAAGCTCTAAAATAAAAATTGAATCTTTTTAAAAAAATTTAACTTTTGGTACGGAAAGTTTCAGCAATTTGTCTTGAGGCACGATGCCATGCACCGCTAGTATAATGAATTACTTCATTAAGATATATATACTAATATATTACTTTAAAATCAATACCATCGGAAAATCTTCTACAAAATTTGTTTACAAGCAATTATTATTTTCTTTTGATAACTTTGAATATTATCAGATATAAAAAAATCATAATTTTTTATTACAAAAAATAATAATAGTAAAAAAAATAAAAATAGTACAAAAAGTAACTTCGAAACAATGTTTCGAGTGATTTCAAAAAATTGGGTGAAGTGGCAGATTTGCAAAAGTATTTGAAATTTTCGAAAACGTGAATAAAATATATCTTTTTTTTAAAAAATCACTTATCAGAAGTTATCAAAAAAAAATTATAATTGTATTTGTGACCAAATTGTATTATTGCATGATTATTGCATATAAATTCATATATATTTATTATTTAAGTATTAACCTTAATGGCATATTTCTCAGAATCAAATATTTCATTTAATTCTTATAAGCTTCGTGCAAATTTATTGCATCTCAATATTCATGTAGCAAATATGCATATAGTCAGATTTTTATTACTGTAATTAATTAGATTTTGATGTGTATCGAAGGAAACATTTTGTTAGCATGCTCTTAAAAATTAAAAACGTGTTAATAAACAACAAAATTGTGTTCTGACGCACTTGGACGATTTTAATTAGCAAATACAATTAGCAGGATAATAACATCTTCATACTTTTACGTCTTTTTGTAAACACGAAGAAGTTAATTACCGTGTCGCAATTAATATTGTTTGTGCAAGTCGTGATCTTTTGCTCAGATCTGTATCGTTAGAAGAATTTTTATTGACTCTTATTGTTATGCTCTGTTTTAATTAAACTTATTTCAAGGATTTACATTGGGGAAGGTAAATTAGAACACTCTCTCTAGGATACAATCCCATCTGTTAGAAAAATGTTATTTCTTATTTTCATATAAGTTATTATTTAAATTTTGATTGAATCAAATGAATGGAGCTTTTACAATATGCTTTATAGACATAGCCATACGCCAATAATATGTATTGATACGATGTTTATTTGTATTTTTACAATCTAAATTATTAATATAGAAAACTTACCAAAGAAGAACATATTTGAAGAAATTCATCTGTCAACGAACATTTCTTAGATCTGAAAAAATAAAAAAAACTTGTTAAACTTATGTATGTATGTAGCTATACACATATATACACATATATACTAGGGTGATCCTTAATAAGGATGTTTTCTTTGCTCCTAGGAACTCAAATGCTTCCAAATTGATAAAAATATTGTTCTCAAAGTTTTAGCTCTTAATATTAACTTTGAGATAGTCCGCACTCCAACCAAAGTTTCTTAGTTCTTATTCCTAATTAAATACTATTTTATAAAATATATCAAATTTTTGTTGCAATTTTTTTATTTATGATCAAAATTAGCAAATACAATGTTATTCTCAAAATTTTGATTCATTTGTCCCTATGTTATGAAATTCTAAAAATATTGGAATTTTACCCACGTTATTTTCATAAGAAACTTTGGTTGGAGTTTGGACAATTTTAAATTTAATATTAAGATCTAAAACTTTCAGATATTTTGTTTTATCAATTTGGAAGCATTTGAGACCCTGGGAGCAAAGAAATTCGAAAATATACATATTAAGGACCACCCTAATAAATACAAACATACATATATATATATATATATATACATATATATATATATATATATATATATATATATATATCATATACATTTGGTTTGTCAGATGAAGTTATTCAATAACTTTTCAGGCACCAATCCAATTATTAAATAAATGCTAAGTAAGGTAGAGAGTACTTTAATTAATATAACGAGCTTTCCAGTCCAGATTGCATTTATTCTCAATGCCATGTTCAAAATATATACAAAAATTTATATAAACATTATTGACTATAGCCATCAAGTGAAAAAAATAGAAAATATGAAATTAAATCTGATTTCCACGACAGAGTTTTCCCATGTTTAGATTGTAATATTTATTTTATCGTCAAAGAGACTAAAAGATCTAGCTGTGATTTTAATTCAAAATATTGGCGCTTTGACATTCATAAGTATAAACAAAATATAAACAAATAGTTATAAACAAAAAAGTCTTGACAGACATTTATCCAGCTAATAAAAAGAAAAACCAAGATATGTTTAAAAAAATTGATAATGTTTTTCAAGTAACAGTTAGCGTCTTTAATGAATAAAACACACAGATCGTCACACATCACAAAACCACAGAAACCTAACACAATTAATTATTATTCAAAAAATTTAATTAAAATTAAATGTAACTAACATATGTTGAAAGATATGTAAGAAACACTAATAAGAATAACTAAAAATAGTCATAACAGATGTAATGTCTTACAAATGTCGCTTATATGATCCATTTCTAGTCAATATACCCTATATTGACTAGAAATGGATCATTATCATGATTTGTTCAGATTAATATTGAAAATTATAATTTGATATCAACTATGTCTTTTATAGGTGAACGTTTAATGTAAAAACAAAATCCAATAAAAATCACAGATTACTTACACAATGGGCTTGTACATGTTTAATGTACGCTGCCTCACAATAAACATTTACGTCGATTTTGTGTAGTTTTTATTTTCATTTAATATGTGTATACTCGTACATACATGTAGTTACTATGTACCTTTTTAAAATACTTCATTGCATACATATTTACATAAAAAAAGGTTTTTTTCCAACGAGCTTTGTCCGCGATTTGTCATTTGCTTATTGTGCCTAGAGTGATCGTAAATTTCCTTCGATGTCTATTTAAACGTTTTATATATATCAATTTATAATAAGAAATTATTACAAATTATTTATTTATGAGTAATAATTAAATATGACTCTAAATAATCAATTTATTGGAATGAATTCATCTTAATTTTAAGACGGTTCATATTACTTGCAGGTGCATACATGTGACGGACATAGGAGTTGGATACGTGTCAACTATGTTATCGTTATCTGCATTATTTCTGCGCTGGTGTTCGCAACTGAGAGATTTTGGCCTGCAGCATCTTTGCAGTATGCGCAACCTTCAAGTTTTGTCACTGGCAGGTTAGTAGCAAATGCACCAAAATTATATTTATACGATCATAGTAAAAATATATATAAGGGGGCGTCCATTAATCACGTGATCTGTTTTTTAAAGATTTTTGGACCCCCCCTCCTTCATGGTGATACGTGGTGATATTCAAAATTACCCCCCCCTCTCCTACCGAACATCTCCTGTATTTTATGATAAAAAATGGTGAAATTTGACTTTTTTTGAAAATAGATTTTTTTTTTAAAATCACGTAAAAAATAAATACACGTGATATCTTACTATATCGCTCCCTCCCCCAAGTGATATTTTGTAATTTTTTGACAAAACCCCCTTTCCCCTAAAAACCTCACGTGACGCCCCCTGAGAGTTACGAGTGATAGCTGATTAGAGCACAGTGAAACTTCTAAATGAGAATCTCTTATAAGTACTATTATCTCTCATAAGGACATGAAAATAAAAAAAAATAACTAGATGTAAGCCACATTTTTCCTTAATATGACACGTGCAAATAATCGACTTAATTAATAAGCTATCAATATATTAATTTATAAATAATTTATAGGTATATCGAGTCGTTGCAGAGCTATGCCGATTAATACACGTTTTGTGATTTGTCGGTAGCTACTGATTACAGTTAACGATCCACACTTGAATAAATCATATTTTTAGAATCTAAAATAGATGAAATATTTTTTTACTTTATGAAAGGATTCATTTTATGTTCCTAATAAACTTATATTTATGTTGTACAGTATATTAACGCTTATATTTAACTCATATTTAAGTGCGAGTATCATACCAAAAAAGTGAGTTTTTCCTCTAAAATAATTATCGACTTCTGTTAAATATATGACTTAGTAGTTTGGTAGTTTAAGTACATAATATTCTTGATTTAATAATTCTTAATATTTATTATTAAAGCATATGTCTTAGGCCCCTAATATTTTAGAATGATCATTAAGATTAAGACCGAAAACTCTATAGCCATACAAGGTTTCATTAAAACAGCTAAAACAAGTTTTTAACAATCAATTACAAAGAATTATCCTTTTTAATTAGCAGAAATAGCAAATTACCTAAATTATATCTTTTGAATAATTTATGAATTTTCCAAATCAGGTCACAGTTTTTCATGAAAACGTGGGCAAAAAATTGTCTCGAAAAATTCTAAAGAAAAATTCGGCCAATCGTCATAAAGATTAATCAATGTGTGTGTTCATCGAATGACTTTTTTATTTTTGAAATCGATCCAGCCGTTTTTTGAGAAAACGTCGGCATTAGGTCAAATTTTGATTCACATCTTAAAAGCGCTACTCATTTTACCGAAATTTGAAGTATTTTTTAAATTAAACAAAAAAAAAACTTACGTCGGGAAGTTAAAAGTTTATATTCGAATTATTTTTATCAGACGCTTGTTTCACAAATTATATCTATTGTTTTAAGATAATACATTTTATATAAAACGACTATCATCGATATTATTTATTTAACATTACTTCATTGGATGAATTGAAGTTTGCATTGTATATTTTTCATATATAGTTTCTTTCACTATATATAATAAAGTATACCATTCTTTTTATCTATTTTTCTACTTCAAATGCTTTATCCTTTGAAGGATCTCTCCGGGTACTAAAATTGAAATGTATCAAATCTTGTCAAAAATTGTCATCAAAATAAGTAATTTTCATAAAATTAATATAACTAAAATTATCAGTAATTTAATATCAATAATACTTTTTCAGGATGTCCATTATTAACATCCAGTGGACTGTCAAGCCTGATACAATTACGACACCTACAAGAATTAGAACTGACAAATTGTCCAGGGGCATCAGCAGAACTTTTTGAATACCTACGAGAACATCTTCCACGATGTATGGTCATAGAATAAATCAAAATCAATAAACTGGTTAATACTTTTCTAGCAAACAAATAAAAAACGACAAATGAGCAATAAAAGGCGCTTATAAAAATATACGTACGTTTTGCAACTTTTATCAGAGAAGCGCAATAAATTGAGAGCTCATTCGTAAATTGTGATATATGGATGTATTTTCTAGGTGTGTATAAAATATAAATCCGAGATGGCTAAGAAAGAATTGTCATAACCTTGCGCTGTGAAGCGTTAAAATAATAAGAAAATAATGAAGAAAAATATTATAGAAGTCGGGCATATTTTTAAAGGTCGTATCCATGTTGTTTATGAGGAAGAAAATATTTTTAATTGGATGATATAATTGAATTTATATAAGACTATGTCCTTGAATGCTGCATTGCATTTGGCTAATATCTGAATCATAGATATTACAGTACATGGACTGCTAGTCCTCATATGTTTTCCGTTGTATAAAGTGCACAAACATAGAAGGGACTGTGACGTCACTTGCTGAGCGAACGTTGCCGACAATCGCGGACTCTCCCGATTGATTAAATGTCATATGTCATACGTGCCTAACATAGATCTTATAATATATAAACCGATTTTAACAGGTTGATTCGATTTGATGTACATTAGTCCAGTCATTTAAGCTTAAATTAGGTAATAATCTCGGATTTTGAGATACTCAGCTGTAAGTCTGTCAATACTTGTATATTGACACCTCAAAGTTGTCTCAAAACCTACACTCAACCTATAATAGGGTGTCAATACCATATGTAGGCTTTGAGACAACTTTAGGGTGTCAACATACAAGAATTTACTGACTTACAGCTGGGAGTTTCAAATTCTGAGGTGAACTTACTATAATTACTGGACTACATTTATTTCACAGGGTAAATATTATTAATATCATTTCTCATGAAATAATCAGCCATCATAATTGCCATTGCCAATATATTATTGAAATAAAACTCTCACAGATAATTTTTAAATAACATTAACTATTATGATTAATATTATTGATATCATTTCTTACAAAATTATCAGTCATCACAATTGCCATTATATTATTAAAATAAAACATATGACATATGATATTTAATCGACCGGTAAAGTCCGCGATTGTCGGCAACGTTCGCTCAGCAAGTGACTTCACGGGCCCTTGCATATTTGTGCACTTATTTTGCGCTCGACTAGCAGTCCACGTAGTATAAGGTCTATGATCTCAATACTAAAACAAGTTAGTTTGAAATGTAATGTTTTTTTTAAAAAAAAGGCTTCATTTTATAGCCCAAAAGTAATGAAGTTGGCAAATGTTTCTTTTTGTAAATTAACGACAAACTAAATTTATTTTAATTGTATGAATATATCAATTTTTTTCTGAAAATATGGTCAATATACACGTTTTTAATAAAGTATGGCTGCGCATGGAATGTATGCATCCAAACTAAATGGAGTACTTATAATTAGTGGACTTTAGGATAATAATGATCACTTAATTGGAAAAATGCTTTTAACAACTTTTAAACATTGTTTATATTTGTCTACTTTGGACCGATTATTTATATTCAAGAAAGACCTAATCATATTTAAACAATCCTGGATGTACCAATCTAGCGTGACATCATGAAAACATCAGTGATTTAGGGACCGATTCTGCAGCATAACATACCAATGTTACCAATACATTGGTTTTCCATACAAATTCGTTCTAAATATTGACACAAGCCATGTGGTTGCTGTGCAGTCAGGCGAATTTCTCAGGTTGTTAGAAAGAAAACATAACCCAGAAACCACATAATATCAAAGAAACGATGTTAGATAACAGGGTCTTTCTGACTCAGGTTCATAACATACGAGTGACGTTGTAGTTTATGTGTAAAACGTCTACATGCACAGCAAATACATGACATTTTGACAGTATTCAGTCTGATTCAGTAGCATAATGTATGGAAGTTGGTGCGTAACATGACCTTGCCATAACATTTGTCTGTAATGCGGCAGAATCGGTCCCTTAGTTATGGGTACTTAAAAACGTGTTATTGACTTGGCGAATCTCATTCTACCATCTTGAGTTGTTATTTATGATTTTATTTATAAGATTATAGTTTATTATTTTACATAAATAATATAAAATTGTTTGTGATCGATCTATAAATTAGATACGCGAGAAATCTATATTAAAAGTTGCTTATGGATGGTAATTAGTATTATAATTGAGACTAACTTTTTAGCTCTAAATAAAGGCTGCAAATGTTTCTATATAATTGGTAAATTCATTAAAATAATTGAAAGATCAACTTGGGTACTTTATTGAATTTTATGAGTAAATTTAATAATAGCATCAACCAAATAATAGCAAAGAAAAGCATTATGTGAACTTGGAAAAAATGCTGGATTAATAGTTTGAAATTGAGATGCCTTAACAAAACAGCCATTTAATTGAAATTTAAAGTAGTTAATGCTAACATATTTTGTAAAAATTTACAAGCTTTCTCAGGCAAGTCGGAAAAATCTGTAAATTCATATTAGAAGAGGCTTTTTATACGACCACTTTAACTTACCAAATAATATCAAACACTTTCTAAAAATGGTAAGGTTTGGTTGATGCAATGTTAAATTTGAAAAATGAAAGCCATTTCCAAAAATTTTATCTTTTTTGAGAAAACGACTTTATGAACAAAACACCAATTCCTTAGGTTTATTTTCAAATTTATGATAGCATAATTATGGCGCTCCGATTATAGATTTTAGATAATAAATTTTCTTGTTACATAATTTCTTATATTTTCATTATTAATCTAGAAGAGTCATATGGTTGAGATTATAACGCCATTTACCATCCAAAATAGAGCTTTCTTACATAAGCAATAATATTAACAGAAATGCATTTACAAATTTATAATATAAATAGAAAGCAAAATATAATGAAATATAACTGCAAAAACTAATAATAAATGACTATGGGTCGAAGCATATATAGTTATATAAAATATACTTTATTTTACTAATATAAAAAATATAAATAAACTATAAACCTTACTATGCCTTCTCCAGAAATTTATCAGTTACAATATAGAATATTTGCGTTTGGCGCTTAAAATAAAGGAAAATAGTTCTCCACATGCCCTTTAATTTTTTGCATTTTCTAGTCAATCTTTAAATAATTGATTTATAAAATCATTGACTGCAATTTGTAACGGAGTTATACTTCAAAACCATCCTATATACCAGAATATGCCAGAAAATTAATAAATAATTAACTACTAAAATTTATTCTGTATAAGAGTAAAGTTTAGCAATATACGAGCTGACTGATAATTGATCAGCAAAATTATATTATTAAGATTGGAGATGTATTATTTTATGACTGATTATTTGTAGATTATAAATATAGTCGCCCTTAAAGTAGGATAACTGATTATTGATCATTCTGAAAATTGATTTATCTGAAATATGTTGGAAAATTATAATTAGCAGTACTTGTAGAATGTAAAAAATGTTAATTTACTCATAATTCATTTGATGTTGTGATGCTGTTGTAATAGACACTAGACACATTACATTTTGACATTTTAAATGAGAAAATACTAAATTGGTTGGCTTCTGCCAAAAGCAATGATGCCAAATTATGCGTTCAGAACTTTAATTGAAAATGTTGGCAAGTGATAAGTTTACTCTCAAAGACCATGTAATAAATTATTTAATTATTATTTTGTTTTGCAAATGAGTTTCTTTCATAGACCTTATATTACATGAACTGCTAGTTGAACGCAAAATAAGGTCTCAAATGGAATGTTGAGCGAACATTGCCGACGACAATCGCGGACTCTCCCGATTGATTAAATATCATATGTTATGTTTTATTTTAATAATGTAATGGCAATTATGATGACTAATAATTTTGTAAGAAATGATATTAGTAATATTTAATAATATTTATCATAATATTTAATGTAATTCAAACATTATCTGTGATAGTATTATTTCAATAAAATAATGGCAATTATTAATATAATTTCTTACAAAATTATCAGTCCAATCAATTAATTTCATTATATTATTGAAAGTCTGCTAGTTCATGTAGCTAGTCTATGGGACTAGCAGTCCATGTAGTGTAAATTGTATGGTTTTTTTTTAACAAGATGTCATTAAAAACTTCTGAAATTGTAAAAGTGTCTATTACATACTTATTTCAATTACCCCGCAAATTAAAAATATTTTTCAATTATAATATATGTCACAAATTATACATATATCAATATATAATAAGATATGAGTTTTATATTTTTTTGGTGTATTTCAGAGAATTTTATCAGAATGCTGATCAGTTACCCGAAATAGTAGTTTTCCAAAGCAATTACTCTATTCATAAAGGTGTTTAAAAACAACTGAATAGATTATAGTTATAGATAGAATATAACAATAATGTACCGATTACTGTATCAAAGAAATAATAAAAATATTATTAATGTTTAAAATAGATTTTAGCGATATATTAAATGTAGATATAAAGAGAGTCAATAATTGTAGAGACGAATAATTATGTAGCATGTTGACATAATTCTAGAATAGTTCGGCGTACAAAAATGTTCAGTGTGCCCTGATATTTTGTTAGCACTTATATTTTATAATCACGTATATAATATTCGAACGAATAAAATTATAATAACGTCCATTTATTTATAAAATTAGTTTTTATTCAATTCTTTTAAAGGTGATAAATATTTGTAATCTAGTTATAATGTTTTAAGGTTACCAGAATTCTTTGCAATGTAGTGCCACATTTAAATTTAAACGTACAAAATTGGAAAGTAAATGATACTCATTTATTTGAAACAAAATGAATTTTGATATTGAAGATGATGATATATTTACATATTTAATGTTAAATGTTTCCAATCTTTGTTTTATTTAGATGTGTAAAACTAATATAAATGTCATATTTATTATATAAAGTCAACTCAATGAGTTGGTTTTATAAGATATTCTTTGATAAATGTAAATTACTTAGTTTTTTATCGAGAATGTAAACTCTATTCTGTATATAGTGTAAATTTTTGCTATATCACTAGTTTTACTACTTCTTCAATTTAGTTTTATTTAATTGATGGAAATGTTTGATGATATTAGTTTTTATTTATTAATGAAAAAACAATAAATCGTATGTAAACAAACTTTTGGTATTTTTATTTTTTTATATTCAATTGATTAGGAAGAAAACTCAATAATGCACAAATGGATAACACATATGACAAAGTGACAGTAATAGATTGTATTCGACCTCTTGAAATATTATTTAGAAAATTATGTATTCTGTACGATGAAACAATTCAATAACACAGAATGCAATTAAACTATTGTTTTGTAAATTTCAATGTAAGTAAATACCAAATTCCACATTTGTAAGGTGACCATACGACCCAAATTGGCCAGGACGCCCCGAATTTACACCGAGATTTTTCTAGAAGCAATACTAATATCAGATTTTTCTTTAAGCAAAACCTATTTCAGATATTTCTACAACAAACACTTATCCCGGTTTTTCTAGAAGGATTACTTATTTTTGGCAATATTTGTATAATAAAGCAATATTTATTCTGGAATTAATTTTTTACAGAAACTGCAAACAGACAAAGCCATATTACCCAACTGAAGTTTTAATTAGGAAAAAAAAATCATAAAATGTTTTGAATGCTTGAAATCGAAATTAAGGTGCATGCATTATTGAATATTGCAACCCATCACCTTTCATACTAATTGTTTTGTACTTAAAGTTGTGTAATTTTTAACATAATTTTCAATTTACTTAAGGAAATAGTCATTTGACATATCAGTCCAGGAGCTGTGATAAAATATTGTAGCTAAAGTATATTGAGCTATTGAATATTAAATATATGAATGCAAAATGCAATTCACAATTTGATAAGAAAAATTTCTTGTATAACTAAAGGAGCGAATGTAATTGTATAACTAAAGGAGCAATTTTTAAATGCATCTGGAAATAATTTTATGTCTAACAAAATTACCAGGGTAGCAACCATAAATGAAATTTATAGAAAAATATCCAAACACAAAAATGGACTACGCCTACCGACAAGAATATTTATAAAGGCCATCTCTACTTTAAAACTTTATTACTCGTTCAAATTTGAACATTTTATTGAGAATAATAAATAGAACTTGAACTTGAATAGAACACTCTCATAAATTTATCTCATTTCTTTAAAATTTATGGTAGGAATTCCTTAGTCATATTGATGATGCAAGTATATTATTCAATTTTGATATTGATATCAAATATAAACTCATTCATGATTTTAGGTAGGGAAAGGTCTCAAACAAAAATGGATCTCACAAAAATAAATTAAAATGAGTAATTTTAAATATATGGGCCAATAACAGAAACGAGCACGCTCATTTGATATTATCATTGTAAGTCTATTTTTAGTTATCCGTTATCCCAAAATACAATTCAATATTGCGATAAAAAGTTCAAATAAATTGTTTACATTGGGAAATCGAAGTGCTTTGCTCTATTCGGATATTATGGTGTATTTTGATCTGAAATTATTCAAAATGACTTGAAACGCCGAGAAAATATAATATTAGTAAGTTGGATTTTTCGGCAAAAGCAAACGTTTCATTCTATAAGTCCAAAAACCAACTATCACTTGCCCCATTCATAACAAGTTTTTGCGCCAGATTTGAAATAAAACAAAAAAAGACCACCTTAACTTTTTACAAAACAGTTTTCAAAAATCGAACTCTGATATTATTAACTCATATCAAAGTAAATGTTCCTAATACTAAACTTAGCACACATTTTCATAAATTAGAAAACTTATCAATGGGTAGTTTTCTAAAAACTTTATAGCTTTGTTAAGTCTCAGATTAATTACCGGATATCTTTTAATTATAAGAAAGATTGTAATTTAAATATGAATAAAAAAAAAGAAAATGCTCTGTTGACGATGATTATATATTTAAAATATTAAAATTTTTAACATTGTAAATTTCGTGATTCATTTTCTTTATTTGTAGAAGTTTATAAATGCGATACACTTTAAAAAAATTGGTAAAAAAATAATGTTAGTGCTTGTATCGTGTATAAGCAACTTTAAATTATTAATCTTTATCACGTATAAGTAACTGATAAATTGTTAATTTTATAAAAACATTTAATGCTATTATATATAGTTAAATTCATTTCATTTTCAAAGCCTAACAATTTTAAATTTTAAATTCTAACGAAGTTGTTTCAAAAGCAGTCCGCGTCGCGGCGCTAGTGATAAACAGTTCCAATCTCTATTAATTTTTTGGTGAGCTTATGTTAATAACAATATCGTGGAAAACAAATGAAAACCGAACAAAATAAATGAACTCAATAAGCAATATTCGATTGATGTAACAAAATTAAAAACCTTTAAAATTAACACAAATTAAAAATGGAATTAGATCACGAAACCGCCACTCCGGAGTATATGAAGCTTCCACATATTAAATTCAAACTTTCGCTCACGCAGGATACTGATGCAAGTTTGAAAGAGAAACTGTTATCAGGAATAATTGCTGGTAATATGACGCCATATTATAGAAAGGTTAGAATTTTTTTTGAAGTATATCTTTTATAGAGCAGAATTTTGGATACAAATGTTTAAAGAAAATGTTAATAGCCCATGGGGTCCCTGGGCAACAAAATATTATATTTAATAATTTCATCTTGCTTGCAGCAGAGCTTTTTTTATGTAGAAATGACAGTTGAAAATCATGGTAAAATTTGTTAATTCATGGGCGCATTGGTCAACAAATTAATATATTTTAAATTTTGAAACTAGATTAACAATGTCATTTTGTTATAGCAGCGCTTCGTTTTACATGTTAAAAAATCACTAAGTTAAAAAAATCATATAAACTATAAAACTTTGTATTAATTAGTATTAAAAAAGCTTAAACTAAAATATAAACCTGCAAGTTCTTACATTTCTGGTGTTGATTATGAATCTAATCTCTGATCATGTTAAAATTAATAGAAATAATGCCAATTCAGTAGATAACTAGTATCAGTTCCTTTTAAACAAATATCAATAATACTTGGAACAATATCTAGTGAACTGTTTCCCTTGACACTAATTTATAAGTTAGTAGTCAGTCACAGTAATTACAAATTAAATTTAGTAAACTCATTAAAGATTATTATGCCCAAACTAATTAAAATGGCTACTTCTACATATTGCACAAATGCTTTTGTGTTTTTATATAACGATCCATCTCGAGAAAAAGGTATAGAAAATGTTTGCAACTATTACCAATTGCAATAAATTTATATTTTTTCTTGATTATAGCATTTTGTTGTAAATAAACCATGGTTGATCTTGCTAATAGCAGCGCTTTATTTTTAATGTTAAATTTTCATTTAGTAAAAAAGAATTATAATAATGCTGAAAACTATAAATTTTTAAAACAATATATAAGCATGAAATGACTACTTTTATTATAATTTTTAATTCGATATACTATGGCATTGATTAAACAAATTATAATATGTAATGCTTAATAAAAGGTCCCTATACATTCTAAGTGGAACAGAGATATCTGAAATAAACTCTGCTATTTAAAATGTACATTTCTAAAAAAAAACTTCAAATATATAATTTTTTTTTCAGACTGAAATAAGATCTGCTATTTAAAATAAAAATTTTTAAAAAGCAAAATTAAATTTTAAAATGCGTATTCTTTTCTTTAATTTTTTCTAATGTTTTAGGTCTGCTCTGACCTAGGATGGGACCTCAGGGAAGATTTAATAGAAGAAATGTCGCAAATAAATGAGAAAACTTTAAATGAAATGATTGAAGAAGAACAAGCTTCAGCAGTCTCTATTGAAGAAGATGTTGGGCCAAAACTGTGGCAAGATAGGTAATTAAAATTTTATTAAGAACTAAATTTTGAATTTCAGAACGCTTTATTGATAGACTTATTTTTTGAAGATAAAATTCAGTTGTGCAATAAAAAACAAGTATTTAATCAAACGATTAAATTATTTTTTTGAAAAATTACTGGTAAATATATTGAAAACGGTTGTACAATTTTTACCTCCTATATATAGCTATTATTTAAAAGATAAAATATAAAAAATATAAAATTAAAAAAGCTGCAAAATTTGTGAAAATCTGAATCTCTCAGTCCAATATAAGTCCTTTGAACTAGTTTTAAGTAGCCAAAAGACTAAAAGAATAGCATTCTCTAATTTGAATTCTACAAATATTATTTATTTTTTCTAGATTGGAATACCTATGTTCTATTGGAGATGTACTTGCCGCAACTGAATTTATCAATAACAAACTAAATGATCCTAAAGAAATATTCTCTGCCAGACAAAAATTTGAATTGATGCTAAGACTTTTCCGTTTATCATTTTTCGATGATGCCAATCTCATTGGAATGAGAGACGCCGTTAAGAAGGTGAGTATCACCTTATAATTCATAATAAATATCATATATTAAATGAATATTATATAAGAATGTTGTAAAATATAATTTCAAATTATTTATATGTAATTATAAAACTTATGGACCGATTCTGCTGCACAACAAGCCAATGTTATGGCAAGGCTATGTTATGAAGAACTTGCCATACTAAATATTGATAAAAGCCATGTGGTTGCTGCGCAGTCAGGCGTTTTTTTCAGGTTGTCAGATAGAAAACCTAACCTAGAAACCGCACAAATGTCAAAAAAACGATCTTAGATAACATGATCTCTCTGACCCAGCTTCATAACATACAAGTGACTTTGCAGTTTATGTGTAAAACGCTTGAATGCACAGAAAGTACATGACATTTTGACAGTATTCAGTATGATTCAGTAGCATAATGTATGGAAGTTGGAGCGTAACATTGGTCTGTTGTGCGGCAGAATCGGCCCATTATTCTCAATCAATCTAACAATAATACATTCAGAACCAATTTATGATAAGTTGGCAGGCTTATCTTAATTTGTGTGCCTGAATAATAGTGCCAAATATGTTTAAAAGGGCTCCCCCGTTGATTAGTGGTGAGAGCTATGGCATTTAAATTAGAAGTCTCGCTTTGGGCAGCCTGATGCCAAGCCGTAGTAACAACGGTGTTTTCTTAGAAGTATAGATAAGAGTATGTTTCCAAGTAAAAATAGCTCGGGTATTGGTGCACACCCAAAAAAACATCAATATTAAAAAATTGTAAGAATAAAAATCATTCACATGGAAATAGGACAACTATTTGGGTTGCCATCTATAAAACCGACGTACTTAGTTAAGTCAAATTATCACAATAACTTATAGAGCTTTTAAGTTCTAATGGCTTTTCAATAATAATAAAAAAAATATTTTTAAATATTAAATGTTGTTATAGAATTGTACACAAACAAATAAAGCTGCTATAGTTTACACCATATTTGGAAATTGTTTCATCAACAATAAAGTTCGATTAAAATGCAAATAACTAATTTACAATAGTGGAATCGTGCCGTATATTTTTCTTGTTTGGTTGAATCTAATTTGATGCTCATTTTAATTCAATTGATTTGTTTATTTTGAATTCAACTCACTAAGCAAGTTGGTCCGGTTCAAACCAGAAATTGCAAATAAAATGACCTTCACCGCGTATAAAAAAGCTATCACAATAAACGTTTGAATCTAATTAGCATATTGTAAGACGAAATTTCTATTATACACTTGAATCATTACTACTTGCTTCTAGAACTAGAAGGTCAATTCTAATGAGTCAATAAACTTATTTGGATGCAGTTTAGGAAATCCATTTATATAAAATAATTTATTACTATAATCCAACTACTATAACATATCAATTACAACATATTATAATATACTGTAATATATTTATTTTAATGAGAATAAAAAAAATAATATTGCTCCATTATAATGGCAAATGACTATAATGATTTGGGCACAATCCAAAAAACTATACGAAGAACTCATTACTATGCTCATACCACTAGTATTTGTCAACTCATACCACTAGTATTTGTCAAATTCCAATAGAAGTTTTCCTGGTCTTGTTAATAGGATTAATGCCAATTCAGTAGATAATTGTTATCAGCTTCTTGTAAAGCAAATATTATACTTCTTGAATAAAGTCAACCTAACTGTTTCCCTTGACACTAATTGTAAGTAAGTCATTCATATTAATTATATAAAGTTTAGTATGCTCACTGAACATTATTATGCCTTAATTATTTTAAATGACTACATACTTTTAAATAGTTTTGCATATTTCTAGAACAATCCATTGATTTGAGAAGTGTATTTATATATATATATATATATATATATATATATATATATATACAACTATTGTATATAATTATTTATGAAAAATAATCATTTATGTTTGGAAGATAATATATAATATACAACAAAACGAATTGCAGATTTTATTATTGAATAGCTATTAAAACTTTAAAACTTCTATGAACTATTGTGGTGATAGGGGAAGAACGGACAAAATGGCATGGTATTTTAATGCACCAAAAATTTGATTACTGCAATAAAATTGATCATCGAAATCGCTAGTACTGGCATAAGTTAATTGATTTTAATTGAAATAATTACGAATATCAATAAATAGATCCCTAAAAACCATAAGAAAAACAACCTCAAAACTTGTGGTGTATGGCATCGCGTCTTGAGGAAAATTGCTGGAACTTCTCGTACCGAATTAAAATTTTAAAAATCTGAAAATTTTCGACATTAATTTTTTTTTGAAAATTTAAAATAATGATTTTTTTTTCTTTTCCCAAAAACGATCGTTTAGTCAACACAAACAGAAAGCTTTTTGAATCATTCAAATTGGATTCTTTCTCTCTGGCACTGTCATTTCTTGAACATTTAGCTTTATATCTCCGAAACGGCTGGACCTGCCATTGCCAAAAACTAATAACCACTTATCCCCATAATTACAAATTGAATTGTTTTTGGATCATTCAAATCGGATGCACCGTTCTCTCAAAAACTCGATTTTTATTTTTGGCACTCTTTACTCCGTAACGCCAAAACGACTGGACCGACCTTTGCCAAAAACTAATCAGCACATCTCCCTATTAATAGGAATCAAATATTTTTTGAACCATTGAAATCGGTTGATCCTTGCGCCCGAAAACGTGCACGAAAAATTGTATTCATACATACATACACACACATCGTTTTTTTTCTAAGGTATGCCAAAATATTCACAAACCTTCAAAACGTGAAGAATTGTAAAAATTTTCAAATTCGATTTTCGGACGATTACGATAGCTTTACCCTATAGGAAGTTAAGTTCACACGTCTGTACTGATTACTGCAAAAAAACTGTGACAATGACGCTCAACATCTGACCTGATTGTTATCATGGCTTTCTTCATATCATACGGACACGGAAACGTTAATAAAACTAGACAAATTTTAAATAATGCCGCAGTGTCATTCTGTCCATGTATACCATTTTATCCATACTTTCCTTATATATTATTATATTAGACACATTTCTTGTAAAGAGTGTGAAAATGTAAATTTAGAAACTCAATGTGAGGAAATAAAAGATGTTTGAACTCTTAACAGAGAATAACTTTATATTCAATCTTTGTCTCTACAAGAGTGACAATCTTTCTTCAAGTCAAAATTTATAATTTATCAACTCAATATCTCTCGATCTCCCTCTATCATTTTATTGAAGAATAAATTAAATTCAATTTATCAGGCTCGAGACATTGTGGAGACTACAACGACCGATTGGACATCCCGCAACCGTCTGTCCGTGTACGAAGCATTATACTTGCTCAGTATCCGAAAATTTGATGAAGCCACAACGCTCCTCATCGACTGTCTGCCGACATTCGAATGCTACGAGCTCTTGGACTTTGGTAAATTAATATTTGAATTCAAATTTCGCCATACATACAACAATCTTTGGTGACATCATTTGCTGTCTCTTTGAACAAGAAATAAAAGTAATTGCTCGTTCACGAGTCGAGAAGTTTCTTTTCTTTCTTTTCTTTTCGCGCTAGGAGTTAACAACGTTCCATAAATACGAACTGGTAAATGTCACGATGCAAAAATATGAGATTCTTACGATCGATAATATTCGTATTTTGATATAATATTACAAATATGTTTAAACCTAAAACGGTATTGTGCTTAACAAGTAACTTTTTTCTCGTGTTTCGTCATTGTATGCTTTATGATATCATCAAAGGTTATTTTAGAAACTATAAAACTCTGGTTTAGTAATAAATAGTCTTTTCATTTTTTCAAAATTTTCATAACAAAAGTACCATCACCATTCATACTTGGCCGCATGTACGCCTCGGAGGCGTGCAGATACCGTTCTAGTATTAAAAATCAAATTTATTAGATTACATGCGGCCATAAAGCGCTTATTTTTTTTACAAATCTATCAGATAGTAAAAGTTTCAGCAAAAAGGGGCTTTTCCAAGCTAATTAGGGACTACTGGAAAAGCTAACTGAGATAATACGAAAATACCTGAAGAATCAGTCATTACCTTGTCAGGTATAAAAATTACAAAAACGTAAGGTAAAATGAAATTAAATTCAAAATAATTGATTTTAAAATTTGAATGCTATAGCATTCACGTCTGCAAACGTGTTAACAAGCAAATTGTATTGAATTGATCACTAAGCGTAAGTGGCAGTAAATAATCGACTAAATTAGTAACGATTAGATTTAGATTAAATTTTCAACTATTTGTCTCAAAAATTAATTCATTTCAATCCAATTAACATCTTTCAAACAAATTTATAATATATGTAATTGATTTAATTAAATGTTTAATAATAAAATAAAACTAAAGTCCCACTTTTGTAGATTCGGCCCATTATTCCAAACTTTGATGAATCATTATATAAAGCACTTTTCGTAAGCCTATAATATTTTAGTTTAGACTCTAAACTCTATAATCATACAAATAATTAATCAAAATCGTCAAAAGGAATTCAACCATTAATTAAAATGAAAGTCCATATTTACCAAAAACTAATCAGCACGATTCTAAACTGACCTAATCGATTCTAAATGGAACTTTCGAATCATTTTTGAATTCGCAACATCGGTTAATAATTTTTGACCAAAACAATATCGAATTATTTTGTACGTATCTGCTAATTTTGAAGAAAAGGCTTAGCTGATCGTCTCGCGAAACTAATCAATTATCTTATGTTTCATTAAATGGCTTTTAATAGTTTTGTTAAATTTTAGCCCACTTAACACGTGTAGTTTTTTCGATTAAGATGCCAATTCAAAATGAGTTGAAATATCGCAAACTTAAAATTAGTAAATCGATTTTTTTTATCAAAAAGTATCGAATAAATACATAAATTTACAAATTTCAGATATCAGTACTTCAATATTATCCGGCGTGTCTTAATGCTTTCTTTTCTTGATAGCTCAAGAAAATTAAAGGTTCAACAAATATTTCAGAAACCAATGACTTATTTATCGCGTTCCAGGAATGCACATTTTAAATCAGAATTGCTCTACTACTATATTTATATAATATTGAAAGACTATAAATATTTTGAACAATACCCGATAACTAGTAATAACATTAATCATGCACTTGAATTTATCAATGTTATAAATTAAAGAATGTGAATTAAAAGTTAAACAATATAACGGCGACAATACCGCGATGTTTAAATCTACTTCTAAATACGAATACCGAATTCATAATATTGAAATAGATTAATAATGAAAAACATGATTTAGATAAAGAATTTTATTGTAATTGCCTTCTAATCGCCTATCTCTTATAGCAAAACAATTAATAAATGACTTATTCATAATAAATGATTCAAGTAAAAATTTAAAGAAAAAATATTTTATAGTAATAAATAAAAAATAGTATCTTAAATTAATTATTTTATTTTAGCTTCAGTTGTACAGTACACTGTACTTTCGTCAGCTCTAAGTTTGTCCAGACAGGCTCAACAAAAGAACAATTTAGGAGGATCTGTCGCGCAAGTTCTTTGCACTTCCCTGCCTTTGCTCAAAGAATACGTTGATAGTTTGTATGATTGCCGATATGGAGATTTTATGAGATGCTTAGGACAGGTAAAAAATAAACAATGACCGTGATAAGCTATATAATTTTCAGCCCTTATATAATTTTCAACCCTTTCTACTCGCACATTGCAAAAGTAATACGTATTATGTTGCCGGAGCGGTGGCATCCGAGTAGAAAGGGTTACATTTTCAAATTCGGTTTAGGATTTTTGCCAAAAACGTGGATTTTTGCACTTTTATTAAAATCTGACGAGTTTCATTCAATGGTTTTTAAACTGTTGACATCGAGAGGTAGTTATTTTTGAGAAATCGTAGAGAAGGTCAAATTTTGGCTCACATACAGATGCTTACAAGTAAACACGACACATACTTTTTCCAATTTTGGTGTCAAACGATTCAGAATGATTTGAAATTGCTAGAACTTCCCGTACTATAATTAAAAATCTTGGTACGGAACCCAAAAAAACTTACACAAAATGTGTACACATTATTAAAATCTCTATAAAATATCTGCCCAGTAAACACGCGACATCAGTGCAATAGTCGCACTGATGTCGCGCCGGCGACATGAGACATCGCCGCGTCGTAGTCACGAATGTGTTATTGAGATGGATTCTACACTTGAATCAACATCGCATCGCGATGTCTCTCTCGCGACTACCGTACGACATCTTAGCAATATCCAATTTTAGTATAAATGCAAGCATATTTTTTTTACAGAATTAATAGACAATTTATTAGAAAAGCATTTATTTATTTATAAGAATTACATATTATTGAAAGATTACAAATTGGTATGACAAACAGTTACAGATAATTCTACTTTAAAACAATCATAAATAACATAAATCCTAATTTACAATTATGAATAAAATAATAATTTATATTTATATAATGATCCACATTACTCAATCTTTATATATATATATATATATATATATATATATATATAAATAAATAACAATGATGTGTAATCTTATGTATAACAAATTTTTGTACATATTTGAGGAATTACTTATACAGTAGAAACTCGATTACTTATACAGTAGAAACGATTTACAGGACTAATTGTTGTCAATAGGCATTTGGCTAAACAAAAATCCGGATAATCGAATGTATTAAGAATTATGTTGTGTATTTATTAAAAATAGCAAGTACATACATAGACAACAACAAAAATAGTGTTTATTAAGAAACACTTTCTTACGAATGTACATATATATTTTCTTAGATTACATTACATACATATACTAAACGGCAAGTTTAGCACTAAAGGTATGTACAAGTTGAATATTTGCATGTATATATAAATTGCTTGTGGTTTGTAGTTTGCATAACCGAAATCCAGATAAACGAGTTTCTACTGTACATGGAACAGATATAATTTCTGAACCTATATCATTCTCTAGTCTTGACCTATTTACAATTGTGCTCCTCAAATATTGTCTTAACTAAAATAACTTCTTAGATCTGTCATCTGCTCCTAGGGCGAAAAAGTATATGACTTGTCTCATCTCACTACCGTTTCATCGCACTTCATTATACATGAAGATTTTCTAAAAGAATGAACATAATATGTATCTATTAGGAAATGTTATATATATATATATATATATATATATATATATATATATATATATATAGTACAAGAGACTTACAAATTCAAAAGACAAGTCCCCATCTTTACTGACTGTAATACATCTACAAATTTAACAAGCGAGATTAACTCCGAATGCATTATTTTGAACCATCAATCTTCACGAAACGATCCCAAATATCATCATGTGTTTGATCTTGTAAAATTGACTGGATTTCTATCTTCAGTATCATTTTTCTATGACAATACAGCGGCGTGCTTTTTCTAACCTCTTCATTTGATGTATCGTTCATGTATCTTTCATAATACCATACGAATATCAAGTTAAGTAAACGTTAAATAAATTAATATAGTTTAACTAATACAGTAATATATATGATGTACTTACTTTTCCATTTTATTTCAATGCTAAGTTTACTAACAAAATAACGCACAAACACTCTTTCATTATTATATTGTCTAGGCACTCTTTGTTGACAACCGGCCATCTTTACTCCTAGATAATCCTACTGTTCCTGTACCACAGTAGTGTTACCACATAACAAATTCACAAAATTCACAAGTTATTCATTTAATATTTGATATTTATTCCAAACAACATATAGAATTAGAACTAAGCATCTTTTGATAAATATTTTGTTTATGATTTAGATTATTAAAAATATATATTTGCGGATAAAAAATTATTTTTGAGCATTTCTATTTAAACCTCGCGCCATCAGTAGAAGCATTTCGGGCAATACTTTTTTTTTATTTATTTATACTTGAACATTTATTAAATTGAAATAATTTTAACAGAGATTAAAATAATTAGTACGTAATTTCATTTTTTATTTGATTTTATTTTTAAATAAAAATTTCGAAAAAATAAGACTTGAGATTTTTTAAAAAAATATGACTTTTTTGAAAAATTTGAATTTTTTTGTCTCGAAATTTTTTTGAAAATTTTGAATTTTTTTCAAAGCAATAATGCTACGCGGCTATTTCAGAGAAAAAATACCGAAGCGCGTAAGCGCCGCGCCGCTGTATAACGGATAAACTTTAAAAATGTTAACAAAATGTATAATTATTATTAAAATTTCTAAAACATAAAATAATTTGATGTAACGGTTCTCTCTCAATATAAATATAGCTTTTGATAGCCTTCATAAAAAACGACCGATCGGTATGTCACAATTGCAATTTTAAACAAACTCCACACCACATTGGTTTATTGTCACAGCGGGGATGTTAGCAGGGATTTATATAGAATATTACTGCAACATCACGTGCTTACTGGGTGATAATTTGATGTACATATGTCCAATAAACATTTTTGACCGCCAAATGACATTTTTTTAACTCATTTTTATTTAGAGTCCATAACCACTGGACTTCCCTTCCCAAAAATTTAATCAGTTCTTCATCTTGCCAATACAAGTAAAATGTTTTTTGAATTAATAAAATCGGACGCTCTGTTCTCTAAAATCTGAGTTCCGTTTTTGGCACTTTTTGCCCCGTATCTTCAGAACCCTGAAAACTAATCAACACGCCTCCTTATCAATACGAATCGAATGTTTTTTGAATTATTCAAATCGGTTCGGTGTTCCCGAAATCGTCGACGAAAATTTGTATCCGCACACACATACATCCATTTTTTCTAAGGTACGCCAAACTGTTCAGAAACCTTTGAAACGTAAAAATATATAAAAATTTTCATTTTCGATTTTTGTGCTATTATTAAAACTTATCCTACGGAAAGTAAAAAAATTCAGTTTAATTGAAATAATTTTAAATTTAATTATATGTGATTTTAAATTGTATTTGTTATTTAAGATATCGAAGCACTGTTATCATAACTATCCACATTTTAATTGATAATAAGCAATCAACAAAAAATAGTAATCATCGAAAACAGATTTCAATTTAATGAATGCTATTAAAAGATTTGAATATAGTCATATAAACAAAAACCTTGAAATATACAGTAAGTGTAATCACTGCCATTGTTTTAATTATAGCAATGCAGAAAATCATTCAAGGTTACTGAAAGTTATATAAATGTTCCTCGACAAGCTTTTCTTAATGGCATTTTTTAAATTCTTTTATTACATTCAATTTAGGTGTTCGAAATGATAACATTAGATCCATTGCTCCATGCACACGCCAATTATTACAGACATGAAATGCAATTGAAAGCGTTTGCTCAGCAACTGACTGCTTATCGAAGTTTGAAAATTGATGCTATGGCTCAGACATTTAATATGGACGCGGAAACTTTAGAAAATGAAATTGCCAGGTATATAAAGTTACTTGCAAACTTAAAAATGAAAATGAGAAAGGAGGAAAACATTTACTGAACTATTTTGTACTTTGTACAGCAAATAATAAATTTATAACTATTATTTGTTTAGACTGATCACAGCAGGTCGTCTTCCTGTGAAAATTGATAAAGTGGCAGGATGTTTCGTAAGACCAATTTGTGATCAAGTAGATGCAGAGAAAACGCAGATGTATCAAGAAGCTATTCGCAAAGGCGATTTATTGCTAAATCGCATAAAGAAACTTGCACGCATTGTGGACTTTTAAAAATAAAATTTACTTTATAATGTTATCTTTATATAAATATATTACAATAAATGTTATTACATTACAATATTAATTTCGTTATTTGTATTTGTATATAATATAAAAAGTCTTACATATTACATAAATACCATAGCCATTAAGTTTAGTATAAAATTATAGATAAACTTTATATTTATTTTGATTGCGATCCACCTTGACTGTTATCACTTTGAGGTTTTATAAAACCAATACTCCTCAAGTACTTTACAATAAATGGTGTACAGGCTAGTGTTAAACTTATTCGAACAGGCGCCAATAATTTATTTACTGCATATGCTGCTACAAATGTTCCTGCTCCAGCAAGCTTTTCAATGTGTTGTTCTAATCCCATCTTGCTTAATATGTATGCAACATCTAAGCCACTAAAAAAATGTTTTTATATAAAAATTTTATTCAACTCGATGTGACTATATGTAATAAAATATAATTAAACACATGTTAGTAACAAAATTATAATATAGCATCACCAAAAATCTAATGTGCAACATGTGACTACAAGCAGAATAATATAACTTGATTTTTCAAAAATGATATATTGTTTATTTTAAATTAATATATTATTAATGGAGAGTTTAGATCAAAATTAAAAAAAACCAAAAGTGCAAGAAAATTATTCATTTGATTGAAATGAGAGAAAATGCAAAGAGATAAAAAAATGTGGTGAAGTAATCACTATTAGCACTGGTTTTAAATGATTATATGAAGTGCTTTTATGGTCTTTTTATCTGTGCAAGATGCTTTGATTGGTTCAAAATAAAGAATATAAAAAGCAAAATATTTTGGCTATGTCTAAGAAGTATATAAATATATATTTCTATATATGATATGAACCGAAATCATTGAAATATTTGATATAACAATAATACTACCTACATCGTGCTTTATCCCACCAAAATATACAGTGATTTATTTAATAGTTGATATAAACACTTGAAATTTTGATAATAAACAAAACAATAAATATAAAATCTGTTTATCTAGGATAAAATATAACTGTCAGATTTATAAAATCAGTAAGGGCAATAAACATACCTAGATATTAACAGATAAAAAAGTCCAAGAGATAGCAATGAATGTGAAATATGGAATATGATTACTGTCGACCCATATTGTTTAATAGCTCTTTTCAAATATTCTCTTTTAGACACCGGCTGTATTTCCTTCTCGGCATCATTGGATATTTGTTTTTGTAAAATGTTAGTATCTGATGTCTTAACAATCCTACTCTTAGTATGCATATAACGATTATGTGAACCCATGGGGTTCCACAAAACTTCTTTCTGTGAAAAGAATGCAGTACCTTTTGTTTTATCATCATTGCTTCGAATCTGCTGCCTTAGGTTTGTATAATGACTGCATTGTAAATCGTTCGATACATATTTGCTCCACTGTTCCCACTGGCCACCAGGCATGTTCAGGTGCATGTAATGGTCTGCACTGCCACTGAAAGGACTTGGAACATTCGATTGCATGGAAGAATTGAGGCTGACAGCTCCATTGCAATCATAACATTGAGAATAGGAGTCTACTTCAGCGGTTATATCTATTTTGTAGTTCACATTGGAACTTAAGGATTGGTGGGTGCTAATTACTGGACCGGTTAAATCTCTTGCTCGTTGTGGAGAGAAATGTGAAGTGTCATTGTTGATGTTATTTGGTAGAGGAATTGGCTGAGCTTGTGGGTACTGGACTTTTGCAGTCATGTGCAAGGAAGAGGACTGCTTATCATCTGCAAATAGAATAAAATTTGATAACTCTGGTTTATTAAAAATGATGTATATTATTTTGAGGTATACTTACTTGGAAGCATAGGTCCGTTATGTAAAGATGATAAGGATCGCACACTGTTCGAGTAGCACAGACTAGTTTTAACACAATTTTTAAGTAAAAGAGCCATCGCACATATATTCTATATTACAATTGATAAATTATATTAGAGAACTAACATGGACGTGTTCGATGAAGCTTCGCTCGGCTCGTATTAAATAAATTAGCGACGCAAATAAAAACATGCGAATCGTACGTCTCGTTCTCGGACTCGTTCGCCTCAATAACAACACAAATGTGACGCATCGTCGCTGGATACGTCAGACAAAAAAAGACTTTGACCGTTTGATCAAACATTAAACATTGCAGAATTTATTAAACCGTTTAATATGAATGAATTAAATTTAAACATTGCATAAAATTTAATGAATATTAATGCGGAATGTATGGAAAGCACGAAGTTAATTTAGACATGCGGTAACCTAACCTAAATCTAATCAAGTGCACAACATTTTGTATGTAAACAATAGAACAGCTGTAGATGTTTATTGCTGCGGAATAGATTGTTTTACTATAGACAGCGTAATTTGATCTTAATGAGTTAAAATGTTTGTTGTTTGTCTAGCATTGTTGTACTATTTCTGCATATGATAACAATTATTATTTACTTTATATTTTAATGTAGATATTACGCGCAGTTCTAAGCAAACAATATTCATTTTATGCAGGGCCGCTATTTAAGTTTCTGCCGTCCAAGGGCACTGACAAAAAATGCTGCCCTATCATCGATCAATTGAAATTTGTTTTTTTTTATTTCCGAAAAAGAAGGATCAAATATTGTCTCTTCAATCCTCTTGGAAATAAATTAATTTTACTATAGTTTAGGCGCAAATAAGGAACTTCTACTGTCGCGTTTTCGCTATTAGCGGCCAATCTGACCCAATTTCTATATTCGCGGCTAAAAATTTCGTTATTCGCGGATTCCAATATGCCCTCGAGAAGTTTTCTCAAAAATTAAAAAAAAATGCATAAAATTTAGATAAATATTTGACCATTAAATTTATCTATTTGTCACTTTTTCCAAAATTGTTAATAAAAATTCAAATAAAATTTACGCTCTCATTGGCTGTGACCCCCTATATCCTAGACAAGATGGTAGCCTCTTTACAAGTACTATACAATAAGATATTTCATAAATTATGATTTCAACTAGTGGGGTGCATGGCATCGTGCCTTAAGGGGTTAGAGGTACTTGAAATTTTTGAAAAATCGATTTTTATTTTTTTGCATTTTCATTAAGTGTAATATCTTGAAAATGTTCTCTGAAAATTTCAAGTTGAGCCTTTTTGAGTTATTGGACTCTAACCAGCGCGCTGACGCAAGAGGAGAGCTCGATTCTTATGCTCAAGATTATTCTCCCTCGCCTCCTGATGTTTTAAATGCTTTTAAACCGATTTACGACTATCTCAGCAATGATAATTTACTTTCAAGATGTGTAGCTCAAAATTGAATCCATAATCAGAAAAAATTAAAAGCTTCAACCAACTAGCGTAAAAAATATGCCTAAAAACCGTGAATACTAGTTCTACTATACTACAAATTGCTGAATACATATACATAATCATTATTATTGATTATGGATACCCTAGGATCTAATTGTGGGTATAACAGCGCGCCAACGAGAACACTCTGGAGGCCAGAATGCTTTGTGGGCAACAGCAAATGGAAATTTTGGAAACTTGCACAATGACCGATGAACTATTATATGGCCCAGAAATAGATGACTCGGTTTAAGTAATTCAATAATTCGAATTTCTGTACGTAAATCCAATGTGAAACTTTAAACGCGTTTTTCTCAAAACTATGTTTTTTGAAACGGTGACCACTGTAACTCAAAAACCGCTTAGTAAATTTTTATGAAATTTATACAGCTTTTACAATACATAATAAATTCGGTCCTGAATTATTTTTTCAAAAATTTCAATTTTTTAACACCAATTAACTGTTGATTTTTTACCCAAAAATCTAGATTTTTTTTTCTGATGCTGCCATTTTGTTAATTTTTGCAAAAAAAAAGAAAAATTGATCAGGCCCAAGATTATCTATTTATAAAACTATTTTTTTTTTATTTGATTGATTTTGGATGAATCTCTAAGGAGTTATGATGGTCACCGCCAGGACCGTTTTTTGAAACAGGGTCAACAAAAACAGCTATAACTTTGAGAATATTAAATTATTTTTTCTGAAATTTTTGTTACTTCAAGTTAAAACATTGCATAATGATGCCGTATTAATATTTTTGTAAAAAATATCGTTTAATAACAAAAAAACAATACTGAAAATTCTCATTTTTTCGTAGCTCCAAGAACCCCTAACCCTTTAAGGCAATTTGCTGGAACTTCCTGTACCGTAACTAAAAATCTAGGTGCGGAAACCAAAAAAAATTACACAAAATGTGTACACATGATTGAAATCTCTATAAAATATCCGTCCAATAAACATGTTGACCGTCAAATGACATTTTTTGACTTATTTTTTTTTTTTTTTTGAAAGTCCATAACCGCTGGGCCTGCCTTCCCAAAGATGCTATCATTTCTTCATCTTGTCAATACAAGTAAAATCTTTTTTGAATTATTAAAATCGAACGTTCCGTTCTCTTAAAAACCGTTACTATTTTTGGAACTTTTTGCCTCGTATTTTCGGAAGGGCACAAACTAATCAGCACGTCTCCTTATCAATACGAATCAAATGTTTTTTGAAGTATTCAAATCGGTTGATCGGTGTTCTCGAAATCGTCCACGAAAATTTGTATCCGCACACACATACACATACTGATTGACCTGCGTTCTAAAGGGAAATGGCAAATGGGACTAGGCCCATTTAAAAGTTGAGTATAAAATCAAGTTAAGAATGATAACATTCTAGATCCTCCCCCTACGAAGTAATGCCAAACGGCGGTTTCCGTGGGGACCGGAATTATACCAGGGCGGTATTGAGTCACCCAGACACACCCAGACAAAACAACAGTCAGGATGCATAAAGGCATTTCCTTCGCTATACAAAAAAAGGACTACACACACACATACACACACACAAACATATACTTTTTCTAAAGTATGCCAAAATATTCAGAAACCTTTCAAACGTAAAGATATATACAAATTTTCATTTTGGATTTTTGGATGTTAATAATTCATAATTTTAATAATTCATAATTAAATTATTAACTCAGTAGTTTCCAACCTTTTATAACCGCGCCCTCCGTTCTTTTGCGCCCCCCTTAATCATTATGAATTTAATTTCATAAATATTGAACTGATTAAATGAATAAATGAAATTATAATATTTAATTATTAGGCTACAAAATAATATGCTATTTATGTTAAAATATACTTAATAAATTAATAAATAATTAATAATTATTTCTTTATATCATTTCAACATTTTTGGTTTATTTCCGAATGTAGTCTTAGTTAGTATTTTGGAAAAAGCTGCATGCCACCCTTGAAACAGCTTTGCGCCCCCGTAAACACAGATTCGAGATGGTTAACTTATAAATATACTTATATAACTTGGGAAGATGAAGAAAATGTACTGCCTAATTATAATTATGCTTTAATATATCAAAGCATAGTTATAATTAGGCTATATAATATAATCTAATCCCAAGTTTGTTTTCGCTAGGAAATCCCTATTTGTTTTAAATTTTTCGAAATCGCTTTGTCACCTTATATTGGTAAAAGTATGTGTGTATGTGAGCAAAAATTTACCATTCCTCGATATTTTGTCAAAAACTGTAAACTGTTTTTAATCGGCTGTACCGATTAAAAAAATTTAAAAGCCATTCGATGAAGCTATATAAAGACTCCCGATGAGCAGTTTTGCAAAACGATCGTCTGAGCCATTGGCAGAAAAGTATAAAAAATTTCATACACATTTTCGCCAAAAAACCTGGGTCGGTTTTGAAAATTGAAAATTGAAAATACTTTGATTAGTTTTTGAACGCAAGGACGACAAGGACGTTTCTTCGTAATTAATTTTGCATGGCAATGGAATTCATGGTTTTAACGAACATCCTAAAATAATATATTTCTGCAAAATGTGGTTTAATTACAAAAATTCATTAAAATTTTGAATAATGAGCCACGTTTTTGATACATTCAAGTGCGTCGTAAATGAACTGAAAAAAATATAATTACAGATGTTATTATAGGTGTTTCCGAAAGATTATCAATTGAAAATCGCATTTAGTAATATAAACATTTTTTTCTAATAACAATAAGTAGATAAATCCAAATTATTATTGGCTAAGTCGATTATTTACATATATCAGAAAGTTCATGCAACTGTCCTCAAGACCAAATGCCTCTTACACCTAGTCATTAGATATTTTTATTTTTTTTTATATACACAAAATATAAAATAATGCTTCTATAAAAATCCTTCAAAGAATTTTATTAGCATTATAAATTCATTTTAATTTTTACTTTTGCTCGAAATCAAATAAATGTCTTAACATTGAATGAACTTGTAAATTCGAACTGTCTTCGTAATGGCTTCGTTTGGTTTTGATTTTAATTTTTCAACTTTGAATTTTTATAAAGGCTTTTGCATTTGATACACATAAGAAATAGCTATTATACAGAATATAATATTTCATATAACAAAATTAATATGGCGTTAATAAGAAATAGTAAAACTCACCGATCACACGCGGAAACATTTTGACACTTCCATCCTATTTCGTAACACTACATCGCACTTTATATTATTATATTATATTAGTCATTATTACAACTCACAAATTTCCGTTCAATTCATTCTAATATAATTTTATATTTTATAATTATAGAATGTCATGTTTAATATCTACACGAAATAACTAAAACTTTATTTCACACGCATCCGATGCGTACAAAAACACTTTACTAAAATACAGTTATGATGCAAAAATGTCGGATACATGCATAGATAAGGAAGGACACATGTTTATTGTTATTTAATATTTTCGTACATGCCCTGTATTGTTTACGCGCCATTTTTGAATATCAGGTTTAAAACAATTTAACTATATAATTTATACCTTTAGGATATTTATTCACTTAGTATTTATTTATTAATTTATTAGTTATTTATTAATTTATTAGTTAATTTGATTTTATTTTTTATTTATTAATTTATAATTTATTTATTAAAATATTATTTATTTATTAATTCATAATTTATTTATACGCAAGTCACAATAGCTTAAAATACTATTATTATATATAATGCTAATATTTAATTAAAACTATTTTAACTATAATCTTTTAACTATAGTTAAAAAACAATTTATTAATTTTCTTGTTTTTATAATAATTAAAGTATAGAATCAGATTATAATATATAATAATAGTATTATGATAATGAATAAAAAATTAAGTAAATCAAATGCTAAAAACTCAAACATTACATTTATTCTCAATAATATGTTGTCATCTAATAAACCACCAAATGACTACCAAACATACATGATTTTTAAGAAAAACAATATAATTTTGTTTGATACCTAATTTTTACTATGGACATCAAAATGTCTATTTTAAAATTTGGCCTATATTTTTCATTTTCTCGCCAATTTAAATTAAATGACCATACACCATATTATGTACATGATACATACCTTTGATATCACAATTATTTATTTACATACTTTATATTAAAAAGAAAAACATTCTTTGTAAAAAGAACTACATTCTTAATAAATTTTAGTTTAATTAGCTATTATTGATCACCGTCTAATGTGATATGGACTATTGTACAATATTTGTACTTGGTTAGAAATTCTACACCGGTAAATAAAACTAGCTGTACACTTGTTGCGATTTAAAATGCCCATTCCTTTAATAATAGAGTTAAGTTTAATTATTGAAGCGCAATGAAGCATTTTCAGATATGTATAAGTTATATTAGTCTTTGATAGAAAAAAGTAGAATTATTAACTAATTTATATATTACTTACTTATTAGTTCACATCAATTTAATACTATAGTTTTTAGAGCGTGGATTGCAAATGCTAATTGTTCACATTAATTCCAAAATGTGCTGAAACCGATATAAGTCGATTGCTCAAAAACAAGTTTAACATCAATTTAAACTCTAATTACTACGATAAATACAAAGAAATTCAATTTGAAAAAAAAAGCATTCACTGTTTAGTTTTAATTGTCAAAATTTCTAGTAACTCTTCAAAACCTCAGTTTAAAAAGATGTGATCTAATTTTCAATCAGATTCATTCAAATCATAAACTTAGAAAATACATTTTAATAATACATTTACAGTAATGCTTTAAACTTTAAGTAATTATTGTTTGCTTTAAGTTTTTTATGTGTCTAAATATTATATTTAATTGCATAGAATGGAAGCCTATATCAAAGATTAGACCAGTTTAATATTAAGTTAATAATATCATCACAAACATTTGAAATTTTAGTACTATGATAAAAAAGTATAAAATAAGTACAAAATATAACAATTATTGTTAATATACCATTAAGAATTGTTTTATAAAATTATACATTAAAGTGTATATGCATTATAAAACACTTTCTTTTTATCTTCACATAGTACAAAGGGAAAACATATTTAATTAATAATTTTATTGCTGCGTTAAAATCTCAGATCTAAATTTAGATTAACAAAATCATGATAGAGTGGCATTTGAAGACGAAGATATTATTAATGTATAACATTATTGAATTATTTATTAAATTTGTTCAGTAAAAATAGTTTAACTATAATATCATAATATTAAAGCCATTTTATGTGGAATGTTTTGTGATTAGGTATAATCCATAAATTAATTTAGTATAAGTTAGTTAATAAATGATACATATTCGAAGCGAAATAAATCTAAACATATATAAATAACTTGGTAACTTTTACAGAAAAGCTATATATACACATATATATTATAAATTAATAGATCTAATATTTGTGGTAGGAGTGCAAAACTTAAGAATGTATGAGATTCACTATTTATAAATATCATTAAAATTTATTGAACATTCCGTAATTATAATAAATATCAAAATTTTTGAATTAATAAATTAAAATAATTATATTAGAGATTCCATTACATAGAAAAAAAATTATTCGAAAAGATAAATGTATCGAATTACTTCCATAGTATTAACAATATCCATAAAGATCATGGAAAAAAACAGGCATGGGCACTAAATTGCAGCTATGATTAGCAGATAAATACCTTTTTTTAAATAAAAATGTGTGTTTAGGTATTATGTGTGTATCTTTAGAAAAACATACATGTCAGTGTACAAATCAGTACCAAAATCTTACATTTAATTTTTAGCTAGTGTTTGTGATGTGGTGATGTCAATTGATCAATGATGATGATCGGGAGAGAAAAGTAAAGAAAATGGCAGGTCTATATAAAAAATTTAATATAAATTGGAAGATATATTTTTGATACAAGCTAAGTAATACCCATAGTTAAACAAGTATAAATTCCTTAGGTAGTACATTAAAAGCAAATCGCTAAATAGTTTTAATAGGTATTTTAGAAGTTTTGCACTCACAACCTGGATATGTGATTGGAATAAACAAATTTTATAATTATAATTATCATTAGTTATAAAAATTTATTCAAAGTAGTACAAAGATTGCGTTTAGAGAAGACTTTTTCACCTACCCTATTTACATGTTAATCATTGTTAACTAGTGCATCGAGACAAATTCCCTCTTATCCCGACTACACTGTTAGAGTGTGAACTTTAGCAGACAAGCAATTATGTAATATAAAAACAACAGGCTTCGGGCATCCTTCCATGTCCAACTCCTAAAATTAAATGAATTATTTTAATAAAAAAAGTGGCATATTAAATTATTACATAACATATTGTTTTATTTATTAAGACATAGCAAATATTTCTTTAAAAAAAAAAAAAAACAAATAAAAAGTGAAACATTCATAGAATTTATAAATTTAACAATGGGTCAATTATTTGCAAAATATATCTGATATGATAGCTACTTATGCATGATAAATATATTTTGTTTGAGTATCTAAACTAACTAATATTGAATAAGATTCGTAATTAATTTATCGAAACAAAACTATTCCAGAAAGCACTCATAATAATCGATCATTAAGATTATTCCAGTATCATTACTGATTATACATTTTAAGTATATCTTATAAGTATAAATAATGGTTGTATCATCACAGATACAACCATTACAGATTATACATTTTAAGGATGGTGACTACTCACAAGTTCTCCTTCTTCTCCAGCAAAATCTAGCCAAAGCATTCTGATTCCATCATCGGCTGAACCTCGTAATTTATCAAATGGATAAACAGCTTTTGAATTTTTTAATGAATTTGTGGCGCCGGGTTGATTACAAATATCAGGAGATAAAGCAAAACCATTTTCAACATGCAGGGTTAACACACTCGGTCTACCTCTGAATAAGCATTCTGTAAAATAAAATAATAATTATTAATGAATTATTAGGATAAATCGGGGTAGATTTGAATAGTAACAAAAAATATAGTTGATTATAGTGAACTAATTAAACTTGTAGAAGAGTGCATTCTTCGAATATCATTTTAATTCTCCATAAAATTTTGATCTAATCTAAACTTACTAAATGTAAATTCACGTTGATTAAGCACTGCCTGATGGCTTCCTTGGACAAGTGCCCGAGCCCATGTTGCTACATCACGTTGTGTTTCAGCCCTGTAAATGAAATTAAAAATTCAATTAATAATATTGAAACAATTAAAAAACAAAAACAATTATTGAAACTCTTTCAAATAGTTGGAAAAATCACCTAATTATTTCAAGAAAATCTTATTCTTTTAATATTCGAAAATTGCCAGAAATCCATAACACAAAAGGTATAAATTATGAAAATTGGAAATCCGGATGGCTTTGTGAAAAAGAAATAATTAAAAAGCAAGCTGGTTGCAAATATTAAAAAGTATTTTTGACAATAATATGATTTTGATTTTTTTTCTTTTACTATTATCTTGAATTATATTAATTATTTGGCATATCTTTAGGCATATTTTAATGGTAGAATTTAATTAGATTATGATTGAGTTCAAAACTTTGAAGACTCTGCAGCAACTCGTATGGTTGCACCAATTCATATTCAAACCAGCTTGAAAGAGAGTTTGTTATTCAGTTTTTTTATTAATATAGGGAAATGAAATAGATAAAAACAATATTTACACGTTTTTTTAACAAACAATATTCCAAAATAAAAAAACACTAACAATAAGTGGGTGTAACTTATAACGGTTGCATCTTCATAATCAGTTCTATATCCATTCTTGCACTCAGGGTTAATAAGATTGTAAGCACATTCCTTACTTTTTAAGATCATTATTTCATTCTAGATGTTATTTTAATAAATTAATAAATATGTTCGACTTGGTCACCAATAACTAAGAAAACGTTTATCTTTCAGACTAAATTCAATATAGTTGTTTAGTAGTAGGGTCGGCTAAGACTCTAATTCCTTAGGGGGTACGACTTAAGCAACCTTACCCTATTTAAATTTGAGAGAAATAGTCATTAAACATATTACTAGTCATTAAATATAAACTAGTGGTGCATGGCATCGTGTCTCAAGGTAAATTGCTAGAACTTCTCGTGACAATTTTTTTTTTAAATATTCAATTATTTTATATTTTGAAATATTTTGTACTTATTATTAAAATCACTATAAAATATATGATAATTTGCTGTACATATGTCTAATGATCATTTTTGATGAATGACATTTTTTCCTTTTCTCATTGTAATTCCGAAACCGCTAGACCTGTCTTCCCAAAAATTTAATCAGTTCTTCATTTTGTTCACACAAATAAAATAATTTTTGAATTATTCAAATCGGTCGCTCCGTTTTGTCTAAACGGACTAAATTACCATTTGTCCCGTATCTTCGAAACGGCTGGACCAACCTAGGCCAAAAACTAATTAGCTCATCTCCTTATGAATAAGAATCGAATGTTTTTTTAATCATTCAAATAGCTTGATCCGTGATCTCGAAATCGTCGACAAAAAATTGTATCCGCACATACATACATATAAACATACAAACATACACACACGCGCACACATACATCAAATTTTTGCAATGTATACCAAAGTGTTCAAAAGATTTTGAAACGTAAAGATATACAAACATTTTCATTTTTGATTTTTTTGCGATTACTATAACTTATGATTGATTTGAGAATGGTATATAGTAGTCCTATGAGCTATCTTGTATCTATAAGCCTACATTTACATACTATAAAATTCCTTATCAAAGCTACTAATATGATATGTATCATCATACCTAAACTGGTAACTGACAACTCCTCTCGGCGTGCCACATCGAACAGTAAATATTCGTCCAGCAGCCGAACCTCCTCGTAAAGTACCCGTTGCGGAGCTGTTATGATTCAGAGTACCACTGTTATTGTGACTATTCCCGTGTTGGGCACCTCCACCGGCGTGTGAAGAACCAGCGAGCCGCGTCGAAGCAAGAGCGCAGCATTCTGTTGGGCTGCTCCAAGCCTCCGGAGACCATGGCGCGCATTCATATAACCTGGATTGTATAGAGATAATTAATAAATGAAATAGATGTGGTATAATATATTGTATTAAATGATATTTTATACTCTCGAAGGGTTTGTGTCAAATGTCGATAATTATTATGAAAATTAATTAAGTTTAAAGATTATCTGTTCTAAAGAAAGATGCAGTTCAATAGAAATAATAACTAATGGTGTATGGCATCGTGCCTAAAGGCAAATTGCTGGAACTTCCCATACCTTAATGAAATATTCGAGGAATTTTAAATATTTTCAAATATGTAGATTATTATTACAAAAGGATGTAGATTATATACAAAAGGATAAAGATTATTACAGAAGGACAGACTAAACTGTAGTAATGTTTCAGATTTTTAAATAAATTTTGTAATTTTTAATTGTAATTTAAATGAAATTAATTGTAATTAATAAATTAATTAAATTGTATTTTTTTAACTAGCAGTAGTTTTTGTAAATTTTATTTAAATAAATATCATCTACGACGTATTTTCATATAAATACTGTAACTTTAAACATTCGTATTTTATAGACAAATTATAAGAACTTATAAATTAGATGTCAAAAAACAAAACATTAAATCTTTCAAAGAGGAGTTAAAATAAAAGATCTTGCCTCATATTTCGATTGCTTTTTGAATCATTTAAATTGGTTGTTTCGAACGCCCGAAATCGTCGACAAAAAATTGTATCCACACATACACAAACACATATATTATTAGAAATCTCTGAAACGTAATGATATGCAAAAATTTTCAATTTCGATTTTTTCAACGATTGCAATAACTTACCCTACGGGAAGTTAAAAATTGTTTAACATTAGTAACATAATAATTTATCATTAGTCTAGTCATTGTAGTAAGTTCACCTCGGAATTCGGGATACCCAGCTGTAAATATAAATATAAATAAATAAAAATAAATATAAATAAATCTGTAAATACTTATATATTGACACGCTAAAGTTGTCTCAAAACCTACAAGTGGTATTGACACCCTACCATATGTAAGTTTTGAGATAACTTTAGGTATTTACAGACTTACAGCTGGGTATCTCGAATTCCGAGATTCTTACCTAATTTAAGTTTAAATGACCGGACTATATATAATTTAACTTCTAACAATTTGTATGATACAAAAAAATCATTCAGAATCCAAATTGTTGAAATGTATTATATTGAACCGATGTGGTGTTATATATTGTGCAAATAAAATTTCAATCTAATAATCGATCTCAATTATTATTATGAAAAATAACATTTGTAAATTATCATTATTATGAGAAAATATACAATTCAATAGAGCTAATGATCATTGTTTATCATTAGTTAAATGTTATTTAATATGTAAGTTTACACATTTTTTTCTAATGATGCAAAAATACTACATTTTCATTCACAATTACGAAAAAAGTATAAAATATAATTATGTATATGCCTCATACAATTTCAATAAATTTATTAATTTATCTACTGCAATAATTAAGCAAAAATTTTACAGAATGTTATTCATTTTTTTATGAAATTACCATGAATAATATTTATCAATTTAGATAAAATATGCAACAAAAAAAAATTTCTAAAGACATCTGGACACTGCAATACTGTAACATACTTGTTTAGATATTTGGATGTGGATGTTCAATCTTCAATATGCAATTATTAATTTATTTTATGATATTTCAAAATTTTGTTTTAGTCAAATATTATATTACACAAGATTTATTTGCAATATATTTTATGGCCCTGGCATAAAATCCGATGAAAAATGATAATCACAAAAAGTAACTTATTGATAATATCTAGACAAAAACTCTTAAAACTTTTCTTCTTCGAAATGTTATATTAGGATAGGACATACCTTAATTCTGTATCCGTAACTGCAACAAATACACTGAACCACCTCTCAGAATCATCAGAACTTTCCGAGCTCGAACGACCATTCTAAAATAAATTATATTATTAAATTTCTGTTTATTATTTAACAATGCAAAATTACTATAATTAGTATTTTTGTACTTGCAATATAAGAACCAAGTTTAAAAAATAATGTGCATAATTGAAAATTAATCATAATTAGCTTATATTTTTTCTTATATAATTAAACAGCAATCAGAAGTTAAGACTCCTATAATTTTTAACTAGAGGGCCTTTTTCAACTAGATGGTCAAAAGATAACAAACAATTGACCCACTTATATTTGATTTATTTTTATAATAAGAATTTCTCTAGTACTGGTAATATATTTTTAAATTGATGCAGCAATGCAGATGAACAACTAGTTCAACTTGAAACCATATATCGACACTACTCTTTAGTCTTTACATCAGGTTGTCCGAGATGGTAAACGAATCTAAAAACCTTCTGGTTGGAAAGCCAAAGCTCTAGCCACCCTCAAAAAAGTCCAATGCTTAAAAAAAAGTTGTACAGATTGATTTCGACAAAGTTCAGCTATGGTTCACCAGCTTTGACCAATTCCAAACTTAGGAAAGATTAATATATCCTCCAATTGCCAACAATTTAAATACAATTACCTGTTCCCCGCTTCCAGATTTCCTAGACAACCAGCCTATATGCCTTAACTCTGACATGATACCAGCCAGAGCATAATTTGCTTCAACGACAGCCGCCCTACAACACCTCGCCATTGCTCCATGAAGAGCGTTGAACCAGCATGCTGCTTCTTGTGCGTCTGCTGCGCGCAGCAGCAGCGAATGTACTCCATCTGGCGAAACCAGTTCGAAAGTTCGACCGTCTGCAAGAGGATAAAAAATCTTTGTTAAGTCAATAACGATAAATGCAATACATTAGCGTATTGCGACGTCAAACATATTTGTACATCGCAAACAACGTACTTTGCAAACACTAAGGCGCCTTAAGTAAATTTAAAAATAAACAGCAATGTGAGAGTACACAGGCCTTTTGAAATGGTGAGCATGTTTATGAAAGATAAGCTTATCGTAATAACTGGTAATTGTTTGGACATTATACTTACTACATTTTTCATGGAGGTTTTAATATATTGCCTAAATATTTAACGATTTTCTTATGATTTCAAAATACTCAAAATATAATATCCATTAGAGGTGGGTAATTCACTCCGGAGTTATCACTCCGAAACAACTCTTCTCTCGGAGTGAATCCGAGCGGAGTTGAGTCGGAGATTTTGTCATATCCGACTTTACTAAACTGGTATTAAATCTGTTAACTCGTGCAGACATTTACTGCGTTTTTGTTTTATGACCTACCTAGGTATACGAGACAAAATAATGCCATTGTGTATTTTCCAGAAAATACAAAAATATTACTTCAAAGATACAGAACAATGAAATTGTGTTCAAGTGTGAATAGCTCCAATGTATAATTTATTGAATAGTAAGGGGTCATATATCTAACTACGGCAATCCTTGGCCGTGAGTGACGGCAATCAGGAATATACATACAGAAAAATACACGAAACAAAATACATTTAATCTGATTTTTCCATAGCCTGAAATAACAATACTTTAGAGTGCATAATTATCAGTATTTAAGCAGCAAAAAATATTTAGTATTATATTATTACTTTTACACAATTATATAATTGTGTGTTATATAATCGAACTGCTCGAAAAAATATTAATTCTCGAATTTCTAAAATCGTGACTCTTTATAATAATATCAACATATGTGTTTAAAGTGTTTATACAAGAATTTTAAATAATTAATGAGATTTGACAAATCCTTAGATACATAAACAACGCACTATAGAACACATTTGTGTCGAGTATTTCGGTTTCAAAATTGTCGGAGTCGTGGAGTTGTTTTTTTTTATATATTTTCATATCTGTCAGACAGAGGTATCTGGTATGACAGTTTATGAAACAATTTTCATAAAATAATAAGAGTTGTTAAGCGGATATAACTCCTCCCTAAAGCGGAGTCAAATTCTAACTGATCCGGCTTCGGATATGATAAGCCCATCTCTAATCCGTCTATGATAAAATTGCTATTCTACTTAGCTGTCATAGCAAAGAACATAAAAATGATCATTTTTAATTTATTTCAAAATGTGGTGCATTCGAAGTTTATGAATAACAAAACTGCTTAAATAGCTCTATAATATGAAATATTCTGAATTGATGATAAAGCACATAACCATGCCAATTTACATTACAACTTCAAACGTTAAAATGTAATAAAACATGTATGTATGCACTAGAGATGAGCTCATCATATCCGAAGCCGAATCGGTTAGGATTTGATTCAGCTTCAGGCAGGAGTTATATCCACATAACAACCCCAAGACTCCGACAACTTCAAAACCCTATACTCGACACAAATGTGTTCTATAGTGTGCTGTTTGTATATCTAAGAATTTATTAAGTATTTTCTTGCTGGTTGTATTCCCTTAAAGAAGATTATTTACGGGTAAGAATCATAGTATGCAGAACATTGAATACAAAATTGCATTATATTGCGACATTTTGTACCTAGAAAGTTATAAAATTGCCTGTGAGACGAGAATGCTTCTTTCGAGACAAATCTTTATATTAGTAAAAAATCTCAAGCAAATGTCTGTACGTCTTAACATATTTAGTACAAGTTTAGGAAAGTCGGATATGACAAAACTTACGATACAACTCCGCTCGCATTCACTCCGAGGTGACTCCGGAGTGAGTTACCCATCTCTAGTATTCATGTATGCATAAAATTTATGCAATTTTCAGTATATTCAACAATATATGTTGTGATTAAGTTGATTGTAAAATGCAGAGTACTGCTGATATATCGCTCGATCTTTAGACAATCAAAGTTCACATTACTTTACTGCCTTACATCGAATATTCTTCAAAATTCTAAATGTTCGATCGAATTATAAATAGTTTTTTAATCTGCATCCCGCGTAGAATTTAAAATATGAGAGTTTAAAGAAAGTTTTTACTGATTTTAAATTAAAGCTTTCGGTAACTTCTCGTGCTAAACCAGTGACATTTACATTATCTATCAATCTATATATATATTTTATTTTCCAAAACATTTACTATTATTTAAAAAAAGCATTGTTTGGTTAATAAGCCAATAGTAATTGGCTACATAGTAATTGTACATAGTAATTGTAGTCTTTCCACAAATATTGTATTCAAGAATAAAAACTGAAAATGACATCTACTTTGATTAATTGTTCTTATATTAAAAACCAGTATTGTTGTTTATCCAGTACAAATTAATTTAAATACACGACGACAAAGTTTATTGTTGGAAAAAATTCAAATTCTGGCCTAAAATTTTATTAGCTCGTTAAATTAAAATGATTATTTTCTATATATTAATGAAAATATTACAGAATTTATTATTTGATATTCAATAAAAAAAATTATTATTATTGAGACACAAATACCATGCATTTTAGTTAATGAACAACTTGATGAAAATGAATGTTATGTTACGAATGTTAAGTCTATATCTGGCATACATTTTGTAAAAATATTAGATATATAAATATAAAATATTTTAATTTACCAAAAAGTTTAAATCTCACGAAACTTATAATTTACATCAATTAACTAATTTTCATTTCATTCCAAAGAATTAATAGCGTTTGCACTAAAATTGAATGTGGGCACAAGTTGCAACAAATCATTCATACTCCTCCTAAGAAAATCTTATAAGGAAAATGTAGGTCAGCAAGTTTATGACTACGAGTACATAATAAGTATTTACAGAACTATGTACTTCTTGCGTAATTTTAATTAAGCACATTTCTATAAATAAATTGACATACATTTATTAATTACTTTAACTTTGTCTTGTTGTAAAATTGCTTTGAAGCTATGAAATTTAATATAGTCTTATGATGCTTCTTCCGAGATCCAAGTTATCTTAATAAGCATTGCGAAATCCTGCGTTGTCCGGAAAGTTTCATATAAAAGTTAGTCCATGACATGAAAACTAATATATAGCACGAAGAAACTTGTGTTCTGTCACAGATCGAAGTGAAAATTGCTGAGCTTTTGTGCTATTCGTATTTTGTGTTTTTGTACGGAGTAAAAAGCACTTTAAAAGCTATACTTTTGGATGAGCTTAATGGATCGCATACGGAAGATCTGTTGATTAAAGCTAAAGGTGGACAATATGCAATTAAAAAGTTCGTAGCAAAGTTTCTGAATGTGTATTCAGCCACTGATATCGATCAGATTGCTAAACTTTTTACATTTTACTGAGTTACAGAACTAATAATCCTTATAATCGGCGTTATGGGATTGTTTCTTTAATATCGACGTAGGATTTCTTTTGGGATTAAGAAACATCGGCGAAGATATAACAAACATACAGCACGACTGTATAATTTATTATCTTTGAAAACTTTGGTCTTATTACAAATTGCAGTACAAAATTCATTCACACATTAAGATTCAAACTAATGAGCAAAGTTCAATTTACAGTATGAGTCAAAGACTATTTACTAGTTAGGAATTGACTCTGACGAGGTTAATTAAAATGGCATTATATTGACATCTCAGTTTCAGTTAATGTAAATGAACTACAAGTTATTGGAGAGATATTATCGTACATTGAAATTTAACGTAACTAACAAATTCATTTTGATGTCATAGACCAATATGGAAACGTATGATCATTAATATAAGTGTATATTATATTTTCTAAATCTTATTTGATTTTTCTTTTTAATATTAGTCGATATTTAGAGAAAAAAAAATTCTTCTTCAGGGTTTGCTTAAACTGATAATAATTCTAATCACACTGAATTCTATCTTTTTTGATCAAAGAGGCATTAGAGTATATTGTACTCTTTTCTTATAATATACACATATAATGAATATATATTTAGTTACTTAGATTAGCAAGGACCTATCAGAAATATATAGATTTCAAGGGGGAGCCCGCTTCAGAGGTTTAAAAAACGTTTTTTTTTTGCAAAATTGTCTTCAAAAACAGCAAGAAATATATTTCTAAAATTTCATAAACAAATTCAAATTATTTTTGAAATTACAGAAGAAATATTGAGCAAGCGTCAAGCATGTATACGAGCGGAACAAAAACTTCGACGAGCGATTTATCGGTTTTGAATTTTTTCGATTCTTCATAATTGACGGGAAAGAGAGGAAAAAAATAAAAGTCCTATCGCAACGAGACAAAATTCATTGTATTCAGAATTTAATTCTATACTAATTGAACCTAAAAAACTTGAAAACAAGTTATAATTAACCCACTTTTCAAACAATCTAAAGTAAAATTTTGTATCAAAAAACATGATTTTTTTTTCAAGTTTCGAAAGATTGGTAAATTTCTCATTTTTTCTGGATTTTTTAGGTTTAACTAGAATCTATACAATTGAATATATATATATATATATATATATATATTTGTTTTGATTTTTTTTATTTCTGATGAAAATTGTGACCCGCATCTTCCCCGCCAAATGACTCCTGCACGCTCGTGGCGCATCGGCAAAATGCTTGTATCCGGCATATTATGACATATATTTTAATGAAAAAATTTGAGAAGAATGTTGAAATATATAACAATAAAACTTGAAAGTTTCGTTTCAATTAAAAAAACTATTTTTTTATGTCTCCAAAGCAGGCTCCCCCCTTAAATAAACTTATTTAAGATATTGATGAAAATTTTATATCATTTAAAGTTCTTTTCGCTCTTTTTTGGACTACTTCTGTAAATATTTTTCTTTTTGCTTAGTTAATTGTTGCTGATCATGGACTAGGTGCTATTTTTTTTAACAATTTCTGCAGTATC